AAATAAAGTACACCCAAACACATAACAAATGACCGTCCTCATCACTCAATTATTTGTCCTGGGTGGGAATCGAACCCACGACCTCTGGGGTAGCAGTCAGGGTCACTAACCACCAGACATAAAGGCCAGTCAACATATATAAAAGGAAAGATAAATAAGTAGGTAAAAGAAATTGACTATGTAGATGGATTGGGAAATATGAGCAATATGGACTATGTCAAGGTCGCATACGCTGTCACTCTGATTGGCTCTGGTCAGGCAATCTGTGCCTTTTAACTGAATCTAACCAAATTATATTAAAGAAATACCGTTTAAAAAAATCTATTTCGGTAAAACAATAACGCGGTGGACAGGCCATTATTTATTTTAGAAACAATAAATGTAGTAGTAACATTGTCAAGAACCTGCTGCCAAGGTCACAAACTCGTGTAGGTAAATCCCCGCTTGAAATAAGTAAAACAGTATTAAGTTCGTTGTACTTCCTCATTCCCCAAGGTTAGTGTTGCTGCCGCTAAATACACACAAATACCGAGTACCGAATACTTCTTAAATAATACCACCATCATCAACAGCCTTTAATAGTCCACTGCTGGACATGGGCCTCTTCTTAGAAAGGAGGTTTTAGCCTACTATACCACGCTAGTTGGTATAGGGTTTGTGTCAAGTTTCCTTCTCTATGCAGTTCTGTTGTCCTGCAGAGTTTGCTCCCTTAGTCGGCTCTTACCACACCCACGGGATGAATAGGGGTGGTGACACTCCGTATTCTTAATCCGTCACCACACAATAGAATAATACGATAGTAATAATGTCTTTTAATGACGCGAGCTCAAAATGGAGAAGAGGCAGCGAGTGCAACCCGATCAGTCAATTCAAAGTGTACCTAATACCTATTACTTAATTCCGTCAGTGCACGTACATATACAGAATTCTATGTCATGAAACGCAGAAGTTTAAAAGTTGTTTAAAAGAATATGAAATAAAATCTCAACATATCTGCTTTTAACTAGTGTGGCATAAGTAAATATCTTAAGCTATTTAGTTTTGTTTTGAAAAAGACAACTCCCCTGTGTCGCGGGGGTCTTTACAAACATACATGAAACGGACACAAAGAACACCCAGACTCAGAACAACAATTTGTGGATCACATAAAGTGTCGCCCCATGTGGGGATCGAACCTACAACACTCGGCGAAGTAGGAAGCGGCGTGGCAACCGTTGTGCAATACGTACCAATTAACGTAATAATTTTATTCAGCTTTATCGAAATAATGATAACGTCATGATGTGTTCAAGTTTGTATTTGTATGCTCAACTTTTCTATAAAGTCTGCTGTTATCGAGAAAGAATTGTTCTAAAAAACCTTATGCTGTACCATGTTGTGTTAAAGGAATTTCATTTGATATTTGAGAATAACCTACATCAACATAACATACTTCTTCCTTTTTATTTAAAAAATAAAGTTTTGGGCTTCTTAAACGTTAATTTGTCTAGTTTTGATTATTTTCAGTAAGTTTCTTGGTGCGTTAAATGCAACTCACTGTTCACAGAACCGTAACTACAGTGTTGCGACGTAATAAAACTGATTCTATTAATACAGTCCACTAACCATCAAATTAAAGTACTAAGTACCTATATTAAAACCCAAAAAAAGCAGAGTAAATTAAACTGTGCCATCTCCTGCTCATAACATGAAGATAACATCGTAATGTCAGGTTTATTACGACCTTAAAGGCAAATTTGATTGTATAATAACCCTATTATAAGAACCGTGGGAGACCCATCCTGCAGCACAAATGGGCTCCACCGGAGTGATACCAAGGGCTCGCAGAAAACCGTTGTAAAAAAATTCTTCCGCTTTGCTTTTCATCAAGTGAGTGGGGTTACCAGAGCCCGAAACCTTCCCAGACCCCCTCCCTCCCCTTATTTCTGTGGGAGGGGTGCTTTTAGGGTGGACTCTCGAGGTGCAGGTGTCCATGGGTAATCGGTAGTCCCCGAAAACAAAAAATAACACTTCATACAACTTAATAATGTTATATTAGTATCAACAAAAGGAAACATAAATGTACACACAACAAACTCATTATGATACAACGATACAAACGATTTATAAAGTATACAGCAGCGCTGTAGAGGGGCCGGTAATAATTTATTGGTAATAAATTCAGTTCTGCTGCATATATCTTTACATTAGTATTATTATTTAAACAGACAGCTTGCATTTGACGGGCATGTTGCAGTTTTTAAACGTTTAATTCCCTTGGGTATAACTGTATCTTCACGACCATTTGACTATGATGGCACTAAGCTGTGGCTGAACAGAATGGAACAGAAGGAACTTAACAGAAAGGGGTGAAGACTGTAGGCTAATTTTACAAAATTGGATTAATATCCATAAAATTACATCAGAACTGCAATTCTTCAGCAGTCACTATCCTATACTGTAGACCTTCGCCCTGTCAGCTTTTCCTACCTCAGTTTACCTTCTTTCTTTATTCCCGCCAAAAACTATATTCAAGAGCACGGTGTCCTGGAGGCGACAGGCTATAAAAGAACCATCCAAAACACTTTTACCCATTGCGCCGACCCCGTATTGAATTGGGAAAAGAAATAATGAAGATGAGATGGTGATGGTTTTACAAAAATGCATTTAAAAACTGAACGGGTCATGGTAGGTTCTGCAGTAGTTTTATTAAAATGGAAATATGAAATTACTATCCATTTATCTCGATGACGAATTAAAACGTTATTTAAAAGCAGTAGCAACCCTAGTAAACAAAGCTGTCGTGCCTGCATACAATTTCATTGCGGTAATTGTATTGGCGCTGCGTTTTTTTAATAGATTTGTCTTTGGAAGCCTCCTTTGTTTTCCTGTTATAGTAGCAGACTGGTTAACAGGTGTAATTATCATTGTGAGTATATGTGCGTTGTACGTTAGTTTTACAACTAGGTGTTGAATAGGGTTGTCACTTTTTTGTATCAGATACGTTACGTATTCTTACTGTACAACTTACTTATAATTCTAATACAAGCTTGGGCATGCTCCTTCATATGTATTAACTTACGTCACACCGAATCGACGAAGATGATAATAAAGTTATCTTTCTGCTAGGCTTATCTAGAGTTTACAGTAGAAACATTAAAAAAAACGTATATATTTATTAAATGATATTTGAAATAGCAATACCTACATATCTAAACATGATCACATAGGTAGGTACTGTTTAGTTGTACTTTTATTAAATACATTTCGGAGTGACTATCAATATACACAAACTATCCATTTTAGTATTTTAAGGAAATTGAAAAAATGTTTTGTATCTAAAAATACGAAACTATCGGAGTAACATCATTTTTTCCTTTTAAATTTTGTTGATCTATCTTCCAAACAAAATGTTTTACTTATTTGTAGAGTACATACAGGCCGTGATTGTATTATATTTAATAAAAAAGAAAAGATGGCTTAAACACCGTTCAGAGTAAACATTTGTATGAAAAACCCGGTAGCTTTTGGCACATAAACTTGTTAACAATAAAACTGATTTTTATTTTACCAGCGCAGTGCCGAAAGGAAGTACAAATCGTCAGTAATTGAAGCACGAGTTTACAGATGCGGTTTTAGCACATCTATTTTCGGAGTGTACATATACACTGTAGTTTTGAAGTGTTTAATAAAATAGTGGGTTATCCACGCGTGTATTAACCCACTAATAATTCTGCATCGTGGAATTAAATTTCTCACGCCAATTAGTAGTCGTACGTGTAAGTACAATATCCCAACATCAATCAAGGGTAAAGGGTGCTTTTGTGCTTATTAAGAAGATTCAGAATGTCATTGACTTCCCTAAAATCTGGGATTTTAAACTAAAAATAATAATTGGAAATCAGTAAATGTTTGAATTAGGATATGTGTTGAAGTTCCCAGGACTTACACTGTGGAGGTGCAAACTACGCGACGCAACCAATTGGGTCATCAAAAAATAATAATTAAAAACATTACTATTGTGAAAATTTAAGTTTTCTAAAACAAGTTCGCGTGATATTATTTCGGACTTCATTAGTCGGACTCGCCCACTGAGGGTTCCGTACAAATTCGTAATTAATAAAATAAATAATTACTTCTATTATTGTGTTTTATAACTGAAACCTCGATGATTGATTATTTACTTTAAATAAAGACTAAATTTTTTATGATTCATTACAAATATCCTTCTCTTTGCAGTGCTGTTGTCCTGCTTAGTTTGCTCCCTTAGTCAGCTCTTACGACACCCACGGGATGAATTGGGGTGGTGACAATTTGTATTCTTAATCCGTCACCACACGGACGTGCATGCAAAGAGAAGGAAAACTTGAAACAAACCCTATACCAACCCGTCTGGCCAGCGTGGTATAGTAGGCCAAAACCTCCTTTCTAAGGAGAGACCTATGTCCAGCAGTGGACTAGTATAGGTTGTTGATGATTACAAATATAGTTTTCAGATTTTTTCCTGTACCGTATAGGACGATGTTACTTGCCAAATTTCATAACTCTAGGTCAACGGGAAATACTTTTTTTTCTACCTTATGAATTTTGATTCCCTTGAGAGTGTCGAAATATGCGTTTTTGCGCCATCTTGTTTTATGTTAACCAAGAAGTTTGATTTTTTTACAGCTTCAAGGGACTGTACACTTAAGTATATGGTTTTAATTTCAACTCGATACTTTCCCGAGATAAACTGTCTTGACAGACAGACGGACAATAAAGTGATACTACAAAGGTTCCGTTTTTTTTCTTTTGTGGTACGGAATCCTAAAAAGGTTTAAAAATTCTATTACAACTATGAGTCTTTACCTTTTTGGAAAATGTACTAGAGTCAGGCGACATTGTCTGAGCACCCTTATTTGTAAGGGATGGTCAACGTATTTTGTGTAAAGTGATATTTTAATACTATATATATTTTTATCTATGAATGCTAAAGACAATCAATACTGTTCACGTACTAATGGTGTAAATATTGTTAACAGATTCCGTTATGAGTGCGAGGGCCGGTCAGCGGGTTCGATCCCGGGCGTCAACAGCACATCGGAGAACAAGACATACCCCACTATAAAAATATACAATTACATTGGACAAGTTGTGATCGTAGTATCATGTGTCACCAAAGACGAACCTTACAGGTAAGATATAAACATAACTGATCCTCACAACGAGAATATTGTGAAGTTTGAAAAAAATTGGTTGCCTGTAAAGTCGGTATACGGGCGAAAGGTTTACGTGATAACGACTTTGAGTGGTAAAATAATTTTAATGTGAATATTCATTCGTATAGTAGGAAGAAGGATGAAATAATAGTAACAATTTAAAACATTTATTCTCTCTCACTCTCTCTCTCTCGCTCTGTCTCTCTCGCTCTTAGGCGGGCTAACTGTGCTCGAGTGGAAGGGACGCGTGCCTCTCACTCGCTCTCATTGTGAGCGCATAACGTGAGCGGAGCGTAACGCAGTTTCTTGAAGTGTCACCCGGCAAACCAATTTATAAGACGTTGTCACGTCAAAAGATAAACAAATAAAAAACATGAATTTGTCTCACGAGATTGTCGGTATGTGAATACTGTTATTGCTATTTTGAGAGTCATATCAGTTATGGATTGATAACCAAGAGTTAAAACCTCGAGAGGTTCGTGTTAGATATATATATCCAGGAACTGATGCAAAAGACAGTTCTCCCTGATAAACCGGTGTTAAGCAATTCTTTCGTTGCCTTTCACTGACTGAGTGAGGTTACTGGAGCCCAAATCCCCCCTCCCGCTGACTCGAGCGGGAAGGACTCCAAGGGCAGCAACGCACTTGTGACTTTTGAGTTGCAGGTGTCCATGGGCGGCGGTAGTTGCTTACCATCAGGTGACCCATCTGCTCGTTTGTCCCTTTATATCATAAAAAAAAATACTACTCGTATAGTAAGGAGGTTCCTGTCTTTAGAGTCCTAGCCACCGGTGTCTAGATCCCTGTACTCCATGTCAGCAGTCTTAATTTTTTAAATATATTTCGTTATCTTTAAAAAATGTAATTTATATGTTTGGTTAAATGAACAAAGGCCGTCGGATCTTGAACTGCAGGGCCTTTGACCTTTATGGTAACCTAACTGCTGATAATTGGAGGAGGCCTTTGCCAAATGGCAAACAGACTTACAGAGACTAAAGAAGCACCGAATACGCGAAGAATTTTATTTGTGTAATTGTGTGTTTTATCCGTGTGATGACGGATTCAGAATACAGAGTGTCACCACCCCTAATCATCCCGTGGGTGTCGTAAGAGCTGACTAAGGGAGCAAACTGTGCAAAACAACAGCACTGCAAAAAAGAAGGAAAACTTGAAACAAACCCTATACCAACCCGTCTGGCCAGCGTGGTATAGTAGGCCAAAACCGCCATTGCAAAGAGAGGCCTATGTCCAGCAGTGGACTGTTAAGGGCTGTTGATGATGATGAATTGTGTAAACTTCCTTAGAGGAGAGGCCTATGTCCAGCAGTGGGCTATTAAAGGCTGTTGATGATTGATGAATTATGTAAAATATATAGATAACAGCGCAGTAGTGTAAAAAACATAATTGTATATCTGTTGTCCGAATAATTGTTTATTATTATAATATATAACTGCTGATAAACTTACTAACATATTAAGAAACATACATGCATAGTTCAGATAAATTATCCTTCATCACTTATTTATTTGCCCTGGTTTCGTATCGAACCCTCTATAATTTGGACTATAATTTAGTATCCCATATCAGATGCTGAACTATTAAAATACTAACTCTACCGAGTATGCTATTTTGGATTTAAGATAAATAAATTTTATGGCTCAACAAAACTTGTTAACTGGAGTAATCTTGCGTGATGTTTATTTGCTACAACCTACTCTGCACATCAAACCTGGGCTTCAATTCTACTATTTTATGTTCACGCCAAGCCACTGTCATACCACTGACACGCTATTGAGATGCCATCGTGCCAATATCGTTAGTCTACACTAACTCAGTGTCTTTACAGTGGCGATGGAATGGCTGTGGCTCATCAGTGGTGAAATCAAAAAGATTGCCATATGAATATGATGAAAACATATTACAAATTATAAGGAAATTATTTATCTATTTTTCCAAATATGCCAATGGCCACTCGATGGCATCTCAATAGCATGTCAGTGGTATGACGGTGGCTTGGCGCGAACATGAAATAGCAGAATTGAGGCCCTGCGCTGTTAGGTAAGAAATCAAACTGTGGTAGACATCAGACGTTGCGCAGACACCCTTGTTTGGAATCCACACAATATGTTTTATGTATGATTCTTTTTATACATGTATGTAGCTGTGTAGGTTATTATAACCATTTTTTATCACATTCATGTCCTAACTTTTACACCTTCCTCTTCCGCAATAACCATTTATCACGTTAATTCCCGTATAAATAAATACATTAGTTGTTCTTGTTTTTGTCAACTACTAGTTCGAATTGTAAATTCTTTTAGTGTCACGCTACGACCACTAGAATCAATGAAATATATTTCAAAAACGGAGAAAATTATCAGTCAGCCAGTATATTTCATAATACTGTATTGAAATAACTTTACTTATTAATCAATATATTTTTTGTCACAGACCGCACCCCCACAATCTTGTGGGGCGAGAGCGATGCGACAGAGGGGTTTGCACAGTACCCTACCGCATCACAGAAGAGTCAAACGAGTACCAGTTCAAAAACCTGGGTATCCAGTGTGTGAAGAGACGAGACATAGCCGACGCTCTACGTGTTCGACAAACACTGCGAGTTGACCCCTTCAGGAGTGAGTACTAGTTACTACCACTACTATTACTAGTAAATGGAGACCGTCCCGATAAAGTAACTTATTAGTTTGCGTTCAGTTTGTATATCAATTCGCGGTTCATTTCTTGTATTACATTTTCTTTAGAGCCGTGTTTACAGAGGCCACGAAACCACGCCCTTACAGAAAACCGGTATTAAGCATTTGGAAGAACGGGTGTAATGTCGTGAGAAGGTGTAAAATTTATGACAACTATCAATGTAATAAAAAGTGGTTACATTACTCCACCACAAAGGGAGGTTACTCCGAACAGGCGAGGTGATCAAGCCTGGCGGGCCGCGGCCCTATGGTTGATTTTGGGAAGTTGTGACGAGAGAATTCTTCATATCGCGATACAGGATTAGCAATTCTCATTCAGAACTTACTGCGTAGTTCGGTGTGTCTTCGTTAGATGGCGTTGTAGTATGTTTCTTTCTATGTGGGAGTCACCACAAGCAATTGTTTCGTTGCTGCTCAGCCGAATGAGTCAGATTCCTCGTGTGAATGAGGTTACCGGAGCCAAAACCTCCCCTACCACTGGTTCTGGATTCTGGTCTGCGTGACAATTGTCACCGAACTTATAGTATTTGAGTAATCATCCTTTGTAGCAATGAAAATGGCGCGCTCATGAGAACTAAGACTTGGGAAACAAACAATCTCAAATCTGTAGGCCTTGTCAAGAGCGAGTCGGATCAAAACAAACATTAAAAACTCGAACAAAATGCGTGTTGTTAACAAAACCGGACAAGCCATTTGCGCTAACGCACAACGTTCAACGGCCTAAGATCAGGTATCTTAAGATACCTGTTGGTTCACTGTTGCCAATACTTGTGAAGACCGGTTGTCTATCATGCTGTGCTAAATGTGAAATAAAAACAGCACTACACTACAATCGCTGACAAACTTGTCTTCCACAAAGATATTATACCCAAGTCGAACATGTCTAATTCAACCCAAAATCTATCTGTTTGTTGTTTTGATTAACTTTGGGGGAGGGCTATGTCCACCAGTGGATGTCTGCCTGCTAAAATTATGACAACATAGGTTTTTATGACAAGTCCTCAGAATATCGATTGATCTCGGATTCTCCGTACTGTAACACACTCCATATATAAAGGGACCTTTACATTTCAACTCAAACGGAAGCCAATTTATAGAATGCACGGATAGTGTAGTGGTTTAAGCGGTCGCCACGCCACTTGCTACTACGCTGAGTGTTGTGGGTCCGATCCCCATATGTGACGACACTTTGTGTGATCGACAAATTGTTGTTCTGATTCTGGGTGTTCTTTGTTCGGGGCACCAGGGACTTCCTTTCTAGGGTATACCTGGTTCCCCGGCTATTAGTACCCGAGACGGCGTGCGGTTTTAGTCGGTTCGAGTCCGACATGCCACCGACGGGTGGTATCCGAGGGGATTTCCTCACGAAAAGAAAAAGGGGTGTTCTTTGTGTCGTTTAATGTATGTCTGTAAGACTTTACAGACATACATTAAACGGACACAGGATATATTCCTAATGCGGGAGTTGTCTTTTGGAAAAAAATAATTAAAATCCCATAAGCACTTTCTACATCATTATGTTCGCAAACACGAGACGAGACTGCACTGTTCAGTCAACTGTGTCACACAATCGAAGCTCATTAAACCAGCCGGTGTTCAAGGCCGGTCATTGGCGCCGATGTATCACTTCTGTATGATCATACATGCTACTTGAATGATTGTATTCAATCGAACTCTTGACTGAATCCGACATGGAAACAGAGACTAAGAGCCTCATGAGGACCGTTATTTTTTTCGATTGGGTATGGTTTTTTGACAGACATAGCATAAAGATGATTTCTCGATATTTCCTTAAAAAATAATTACTTTTTTCAATATATAAAAGCTAATTTTAGCTGCGAACTTCTGTGAAGTTGTAATACTGATGTTCTCATTCTCCATTAGCTGTTAGAAGCTTGAGTAATGCAAAATTACACTAACCAAAAAGTAGGTTACCTTAAACTTTGCCATGGGAGAGCCAACCTTTGGCAAATACCATTCTCTCATAGGAAACCCCCTCGTATTCTAGTGGGGTCACCCAAAGGGTGGCAACACACTTGTTTGTGACTCTTGAGTCATCACGAGCCTTCAGCACAGCATTCTACTAGTCACACAGAGGCAGTCAAAATAGTAATATTACAAAGTAACGTTTGCTCCCTCCTGTCTTAAATATAGTTTGTTTAGTATAACCATTCGGATTGTTGATGGGTTATAAATGCTACAATAACCTCAGTTTTAGATTTTATTGAGGAAATTAAATAAATATTATCGAACAGACTTAAATTTATAGATCAATATACCTTCAAAATACCGTCTTCTGCTGAAATTTAAAAAAATATAAATTTAATGACTTGGAAACTACGATCATAGGTTTAACCGCCTAGTATTTATTATTTTCCATTGTAGAGGCGATAAAAACATATAAACTTGCTCCTGTGTCTCTGAAGGAGTTGGCAGAGGTGACTTTACACACTTACAGCTTGCCAAATAGAATTTAGATCCACTCATGGAGGACAAAATGTCGGGTACTTTGGGAATTAAAGAATTGAAAAATTGAGAGCATATCGAAGAGGATAAGGAGGTAAGAAGGGAAGAAAAGAGATATTGCTATAGGAATACAAATACCCTTTATTATAATGAAAAATAAGTATCTGCTTTTGTAGTTACTTTTGCGTTTAATAGTATAGTAGTATTAGTATTGTACCACTTTCACACAACGCCATCTAGTACCAAACTGATATAAATACATATATACTTTTTTTTGTAAATACATACATATTATACATAGAAACACCCAAACCAAATCAAACATTAAATGTTCATGCACACAAATGTTTGACTTGAGCGGGAATCGAACCGCGACCTTTCGAATAGCAGTCCGTTACCCAAACCACTACGCCATCCAGTCGTTAATAACATACACATCTTACACACGGCCGTCCAAACTAGTCAGGGCCTGGTTACCATGGTATGGTAACCAGACTACTGATAAACATACTTGAATATTTCTGAATACATTCCTATTATATAGATAACTTATACCCAGACATAGAACAAATGATCGTTCGGTCGACACAATAGGCGTTGACTCAATTTGAAAACTTGGTTAATTACATACTTTAATATCTATTTTATCCCAAAAAACCTATATTTTAAAGAAAAAGCAAAATTTATATTTCCCTTGAAAACGCTAAATTGTGTCATGGCGTCCTGAATGACGTCACAGTCTGCGACACAAAACTGTTTACATCTGTGTCCAGTGTCAACTGAAACTGTATTAAGATGAGAAGATACTCGTATGCTAATAACGAAAAACAATAAGGAGTAACCTCCTCTGTTGTATGAAAACGTCAACAACAACAATGATGTTTTGCGTGGCGTGACGTAACACTTTCTGATTGGTGTTTCGCTGTCACGTGACTTAATGCCTATTTTGATCGAATTTATTTTTTAAAAATATTAATAATCTTTAAATTTCATGAGAAATAGACTAGTTTTTTCTTATCTATGTCTCTTCATTTATAATTTGAAACTATAAACCAAAAAATTGTTATTAGTGGACACAAGTCTATTATTTGTCCTAGGTGGAAATCGAACCCACGACCTCTAGATTAGCAGACAGGTTCACTAACCTCTAGACCAACAGACCCATAAACATCACCAAAATTGTTTTACAACAGACTGTTTGAAAACTACATAATTATGTAATGTACACCATAGTGGTGTAATTGGAAATCCCAGCCATATTTGGCACAGCAATGGACGCAGCCGGAACTATAAGCATCTTACTTAACCGCTTTCCAACCACGTCTAGAAACGTTAGTAAACCAACTACAGATATTGGTTTTTCTCTCTTAGGTGTGAAAGATCCGTAAGGTAAATTAAATCAATGGATCACGAGATTATGACTCGTTTTATAAAATATATAAAAAATGTTTTAACAAGTGTGTATATTATGCTACTTTGACCAAGTAGCTCAGACATCTTTATCTTTAGTGTGTCTTATCACATTCACAGGGTCAAGCCAGATTGCTCTTGCTTTCAAAGGTGCAATATATGTATATATGATTATAATAATAAATTGATAAACCTTACACACGGCCGTCTGAACCCAGACCTCAGTAGACCTTGTACAATAGTAATATTTCCGAACACGTCTTATAGATAAATTCACTTTTTTTGTCGGGGTGGCAAATCCCTTCGGATTTCCTGCTGCTTGGGTACTCAGGAGCCAGGAGAATGTGGTGATTCCACCAAAAAGCCACTCGTACGGCTGGCCTCAGGCGCCGTACTCTAGGAGGACCCGTGTCATGTGATTTCAGGTCCTCCCCGAATCGACACCACGCCTAATCAGGCCAGAAAAATTACCTAGATATAGAACAAATGATCATACATAATTTTACTAACCACTAGACGAACAGACCAGTCAAATACATTCTCACAAATATTTGCACTGAGCAGTAGTCGATCCCGCTACCAATGACGTCACAGTTAACGCACGACAGGTAGACTTCCAATGTAAACAGTACTATCGTAACCGTAAGGAATCCTCAGAAGCATTGTTGAGTTTGTCCTCTCTCCCTCACAATTCGTTTAGAGGTGATTCATATGTTTGGTCTCTTCTCAATTACGTAATGACTATTTTATTACAAAGTACAGCCTCTGGTTATATAAACAATCCACATTGATCAGACTTACATTAAAAAAATAGTTCAATATGCGGCCTGGCTACTAACTGGGATTGAAGGCAATATGGACCTTATCCCGTTCTATTAAGTTTGAAAATCATTATTTATTATTCAGTATAACTACGTTGTTACCAGAAATAGATGAGCGACCAAAAATAACCAGAAACCACGCCTGGATCGCCAACCTATTAACCTATTTAGCCCGTTTCCACACTGTCACGACCTATCTTAAATTTTAATGAAGCACATAATAATTTCGTGTATTATTCATTATCGTATCGTATATTCTTTGGACTATGCCTAAATTAAATCTTTACATTTACAGCTATAATAGTCCACTGCTGGCCTTAAGCCTCTACTTAGAAAAGAGGGTTTGTTGTTTTCCTTCTTTTTGCAGTGCTGGTGTCCTGCTTTGTTTTGCGTACGTTGTTTCCCTTAGACACCCACGGGATGAATAGGGATGGTGACACTTCGCATTCTTAATCCATCACCTCACGGATATTACTTATTTCAGATCAGATTTAACGTTTTTTTCCTGGTCATATCTTCAACTGATAATACATAGCTAGCAATCACTACGTAGTTTTGTAATATGGTTGGATATTGAAACCCCCCCCTGCTGGGGTGGGGTGCTTTTTACTATTGACAACAGGCACCCAACGCTTTTTTTCAAATTTATTTTCTATGTTTTAGTTTGGTTTTCTATAAAAAGCGTATTTTTTAGTTTTTTTTTAAACTATTTTTTTTTCAATATTTTTGTTTAAATTAGTGTATTGTCATCGGTCCTCGATGTATCTACAAAGTTTGAACGAATTCTGACCGTTTAAAGTCAGTCAAAATCACGCCCAAAGGGGTCGGTTACAAACTCTAATATTATTTCTTAAGCTTATTTAGCTTCAATTAGTAGTGATATTTGTATCATCATCATCATCATCAGCCTATCGCAGTCCACTGCTAGACATAGGCCTCTCCCATTGCACGCCACTTAGATCGATTTTGGGCTTCTTTTTTTCTTTTTTTCTTCTCTTCTTCTTCATCTTCTTCTTCTGATATTTGTATAATAATCTGATAATAATGTTTATTTTTAATTTTTTTTAAACTGGTGTAAAACTTTTGTTGCAATAAATGGTATAGGCATAGTTAGGTGATGTAATCAGGGAAGAGCGCTGATGTCTGGGATACAGATTTCTTATCTAGTCCAGGCACAGATGCCCCAATTTAAATGTATCATGTAACCACAGTAATATTTGTAAAACCGTGTACTGTGTAAAAACACTGTTAATTGAATAAATTATTATTATACAAGTGAACCTAATATAAAGCGTGTAAAAAAATGAAGCTAACCGCTGCAGTGTGTATCATGCCTTTCGTTCTCCTGACAGCGGGTAAACGCTATCGTATTTATAAATAACAGATCTTCGTTATTTGTTCGATATTTAACGAAAGTGAGTTAAAATCCATAAGTGCGATTTTACAGCTATCAAGCCGAGATGTTTCAACTGATTGATTACGTTTTAAGAACGTTAGCAGGTATTTATATAGCTATACTTTTGCGTTTCATTATAAATATTTATTATATATATATATATATGTAATCTGAATATCAAAAATCACATTGAATATCACTTTTTAAGTATGTGGATGTTTACCCGGTACTTATATATAAAACACGATGTAAGTCTGTCTATTCCAGCTAATCTCAGAAACGGTTGAATCAATCAAATCAAAACAAGCCGCAAGGTTTATAAAAAGGTTTTCAGATAATTATGTTATTAAGTTAGTATACCTTTATGCATACAAGCGAAACTACGCTATAGCGGACCCAGTCACTACTACTTCACAAACTACTGTACCTCTGAGAACACGCCATGACAATATGTACTTAGGTATATTAAAATGCCATCGTGCGATCTTATCACATAATAAATAAACGTACAAGCATACCCTTTACATACTGGTAAATATAGACTAACAGGAAAATATATCAACCAAACTCTTGCGCGGGAAAGTTACTCTTTTTCGGCCCGTGCCGTTTAATATGTACGTAAATAGAGAGACCGGTTTTATAAACTTACTTAAGGTTGGGTCTGACATCCTACGGGGCAGGATGACGATGTGTGTAAGCGGTTGTCGCGTTTGGAGTCTGTCAAGCGCTGAGCGCGACGGCGGCGCTGCACCTGTGTGAAATCTATCTTCTACATTAACTAACATGTTACCTCTGCCTCCCACCCTGTCTACTGTCTTGTTTTATCGTTTGGAATAAAACTATACGGTGAGCCACTTTGCGAGAAGGGAAAATCTGTTTTAAAGACATCCGGACCGCCCTGTCTGTCTGTCCTAACATTTAGTATATTTAGTTCGTTGTTATTACCTAAGTTTTTCTTTATTCTTAACTGATATTGTTCCATAGAATAAAGAAACAACAAATATGATCAATAATGATTTCAGACTGAACTCACAGTCCGAGTTGTAAGGATTTTCTCGTCTAAAAACTTATTTTAGAACACTTAGAATCATCATGATATTAGATAGTTGTTTGTTTATATATTTTTTTTCGAAAATTCCGATATGCATATATATTGTTGGTTGTATAAACTAATTTGGTTAGTTCTGGTTTTATGAAGTTCTCTTATATAATGTTAAACTAAATCAAATCCTTGAAGCGAACAATATTTACGTCAAGCATCGAAGATTTATTTTAAATATCATAATTTGGAAGTATTTAAAAAACCTGTTTCAATTATAATTTAAATATTGTATGTATACAAAGTGTTTGTTAATGTAAACTGTGTGGTTTTTAATTATAATATTTAAATTGTAGGAGGCCTATTATAGGAGTTTGTAGTGAGACATCCTTGGACCAATGACCCCGTCTTCAAAGATGAGGGCCAGATTATTGACTCTACAAACCAAACATCGTTCGTCTGTTAACATTATTTGGGTTCTGGTTGCTGTATTGTAGAGGAAGATTGGATTTTCACGGACACACTACTAATAACAAGAAAAACTATATTCCAAAAAATTGTTCAATATCAGACATAATAATAAAAAAAACGGCCAACTTAAATGACTCCGCTCCCACCCAACCAAAGTATAAGCTTTTAAATATGTACAGCAGACCTTAAATAAACTTTGTAATTATGTAGATCGCAATATCAAACACTAATATGTTAGAATCGAGCCAACATCTTCTAGTTGTAGGGCAATTATTTTATGTAAGATTAAATTAGCAAGTCTCTCGCAAACCTGGGTTCATGCTCTAGGCCCCTAAAGGTCATGGCATGATGGTTTAATGCTATTCTTAAATAACTACTCTGTCTAACACACGTTGTTGTTGGTTCAACCACGGGTTTAACAGCAAAATAATAATTTCCAGAGATAAAAACATTTAAACAACCAAAATACTCTTCAGCTTTAGAATAGACTTAATGACAAATTTCTTTAGTTTTTATTATCATATGACCATATTGTGTCCATGTATCTTTATAGCTTTATTCGAGATTGTTGTTGCCCCCGCGTACTGTTACGAAAGACGCGGCGGCGCAAGCGCTAAGTGAAAGTACTCGTCTGTTCGGGAAACCCCGGCTACAAATATCATTCTAATCATGCCATCGATACTACAGTTATGTATACATACTGGGTTTTTTTAAACAACGTAACGTCCGTTCTTATTTTATTAATTGTTGTTTTTTTTTTTAATTCTATTTGATAAACTAACTTTTTGGAATTAAACCTGTTTTAAATGTTTTTGTTTTATTGATGTAATTTTTAAAAAAAACAATGCTTAAAGTATGCCATAAAATACATAAAAATATTTTTATGTAGACATAAACGTGCTCATAAAACAAGTTTTACGAATATTGTTTATATTCGTAAAACTTGTACCTAGATGTAATATTTTTTTGTATTATTGAGATGCATATACTCCGTCGTATTCTATATGTATAGGTATTAGGATAAAGGCTTATTTTTTAAACTAGTCAAGTTTAAATTGTCAGTCCATACGACCTTCTAACCTTCAAGAAAAGAGCTTACTCCTTCATAAAAGGCCAGCAACGCGTTTGTGACTCCAGAGTTGCAGACGTTCATGGGCGGCGATAGTCACTTTCCATCAGGTGACCCGTTTGCTCGTCTGCCCCCTCTAACATAAAAAAAAACAAATATAGTACAATAAGACTTATCAGACTCAAACTTCATCCGTTCTAGATCTTAACGTCTTAATACTGAAATTTCTGGTATATACTTGTAATAGGAGAGAGAGAGAGAGAGAGAAAGAGAGAAGGATAGAGGGTTTCTTTACTTTTACTCGAGTGAGGTCGGGGGTAAAAATAGTATTGTCTATCACATTACCCACCCTTTTTTTTATTTTATTTTTCGTGCGGAAATCCCCTCGGATACCACCTGTCGGTGGCATGTCGGACTCGAACCGACTAAAACCGCACGTCGTCTCGGGTACTAATAGCCGGGGAACCAGGTATACCCTAGAAAGGAAGTCCCTGGTGCTTCGTCCTTATTCAGCAGTAGGAATAGAACTTAGGAAGTTCTTTAAAAAACTACCAGCATATGAGAAAGGTATAATACAGGAATTAACAGCGTTCTCATCTGAGCCACACATGTTGAGGCTAAACTCGAGTATCTCCTAAAGATTTCTGAAGTTTTGACCATTATAAATTTTTAAAGAAATTATAACTCTTTCCAGCTGGCTTCGGTCACATGGAACAGCCTCAGAGCATCGACCTGAATGCCGTTCGACTCTGCTTCCAAGTGTTCCTGCCTGACGCCACAGGGCGTTGCCGCCGGCCCTTAACCCCCGTGGTCTCCGACATCATCTACGACAAGAAGGCTATGAGCGATTTGCTTATAGTCAGGGCCAGCCACTGTTCTGGAACTGCCAAGGGTGGCACGCAAGTCATTTTACTGTGTGAAAAGGTTTGTAGTGTTTTATTTATATTTCAAGAAAGATGTGATTCACAAGATTTTTTATGACAAAGGTCGGATTGCAATCTTGTGATTTTCGATGTATTTTAAGTTCTTTATGAGCTTAATATTTCTCATCATCACCATCAACAGCCTTCACTAGCCCACTACTGGACATAGGCTTCTCCTTAGAAAGGAGGTTTTGGCCTACTACACCACGCTGGCCAGACGCGTTGGTATAGGGTTTGTATCAAGTTTTCCTTCTCTCTGCAGTGTTGTCCTACGTAGTTCGCTCCCTTAGTCGCCTCTTACGACACCTACAGGATGAATAGGGGCTGGTGACACTCTGTATTCTTAATCCGTCACCACACGGACAACGGACGGATTTCTCAATGTTTGTAAATTTTACAGTGACAGAATTATATTTGCATTATCTGGAAAAATATAGTATTTAGGTAGCTACTTAAATCCAGCATCCAAAGTTTATAGTTTATATAGGATAGTCTTACCTATAAAAATACTAGATTTACATCACTACTACTTTAAAATGATAAAATGTGAACATATGGTGTTAATCTATTAATTTAAGAAAGCTACAGTAATAGAAATACTTAAAACATATCATAACATCTTATAATTTTATTATAATTTGTGCTCCAAATATTGTCTAGGACGTTATGAAACGGACTCCCTTGCAACGACAAATATAATTTTAGAAAAATGAACTCATCATTTTCGTGGGTCTTTCCCAATTTTATTTGAGGTCGGCGTCATGTATACCATTTCAAAATTGACTGGTTTCTTTTTTGGCTGGCTGCCTTACTGACGCCAACCTTCCTTGGGAATGTTAATTGTCAGATGGGACAAAGGAAACTAAGCGAAAATCTTAGATAGTAAAATGGGTTTGAAACTGCAGTAGCTCCGATAGGCCGAGGCCCGTACCCGTATTTTACAGGATGAGAAATAACTGTGTGATGAGCACGATCATTTGTTCTGTGACTGGGTGTAATTCATCTATAATATGTATGTATTTAGAAATATATAAGTATGTTTATCAGCGGTCTGGTTACCATAGTACAGGCTCTGCCTAGTTTAGATCAGAGGGCCCTGTGTCAGATGTCTGAGGTTATTATTATTAATTAGGAATACACACACACACACACATGTCTGATGTAACAGGATGGATGAACATTTGTTATATGGAGTTTATCAATTGACAGGTAACGCGAGAGGACACAGTAGTTGTGTTCTACTTGGAGGAGAACAATATGGTGGTGTGGGAGGAGCCTGCCAACACGATCCTCGTGCACAAACAGGTGGCCATCGCCTTCGAAACGCCCGCCTTCAGGGACCCACGCACCAGTGAACACGTCACTGTAAGATTTGACAATTTTTAATTTCTTTAAATTTAGGTATCAATTGCTTAATTGTAAGCTATCCTTTAAATATATTTTATGCAGGACTGTTATAGGAGTAATGATTATTTAATTGATAATGAGCAACAGCGCTTATTACTTCCAAAAAGGGTTTTAGTTGATTCATTAGTGTTTCTGTGAAATTTTCTTACCTGAAGCTCTGAAACTAACTGTAGAACTCAAAAAGTTAAAGTTTATTTTGTACTGAAATCTAATAGACGTTTTTTCTTGCTTTCCAGGTGCGCTTCCAGCTAAAGAGAGTAACCGACAACGCCCGTAGCAACTCATTTCCCTTCGAATACACCCCCGAATTCACAGGTACTGCGCGCAAACCTCTTCCCGACCTCTCCCTGTTCTCTCTTCTTCTCTCTGACAAACGAACCGACACCAACAACAACAAGCAGGACAAAACAGAAGTCGTTTCGTCCACAACCGATACGGTTAGCGTTTCAGAGGAGAGCGGATCCGCGACAATTACCGATATGAACGGTAACACGCAAGGGGATGTCGTAATAGACACCAACGAGAAAAGTTTAAACGAACTACTCGACCAGGTGGCCGAATTAGATGAGATATATTCGGAAAACCGCACGCGATTAGAAAATATAACTTCTCTAAATAACAACAGCGTCGACGTCGACGACTTCAACGACGCCGGCACGTATACCAGTCTGCAGTTAGCGTTCAAAAACCCCGTAACGATATCCGAACCGGATCCTATGTCGTACGAGGACGTCCAGGTCCAAACGTTCCGCGGTCCTATCATAGAGTTCAGCCCTCTAAAACGCGACACCGACGACGAACGCGCCCCTCCCTTGCCCCCAAAACGCGTGCGCAAAGCGACTTCCACCGAACCCTTTAAAAGTAGTCAGACCTCCGTCGACAGCATCCTGAAACCCGGGCGCCAGTTACCGGTCACGCGTAACCTAGAATCCCTCAAAGTAACAGAGAAACCACTATCCGTCGCGAAAAGCGAACCCGCCCTACCCCCGGTCAAGAAACGCTCGTTCTTCTCTCGCCTGTTCCGTAGAAAGGATAAATCCCCGGCGCCTAGCGTCAAATCCGAGGGCAGGAAAGATTCCCAAAAGAGCAAACCGGTAGGTCGGTCCGTGAGCAGCGTGTCGGGACTGCGCCCCTCCAAGTTTAAGTCGTCCGTGTCACATACGTCACTGAAAGACAACGCGTCGGGCACGGGCCTGAGTTACGCGGACAGTATCACCCACATCTCTCTGCACGGCGACGACAACGACAAGTCGGCCTCTCAGTCGTCCTTACGTCGTCCCGCCAGCCTGGCGCCGCTGCCGCCCACAGACGGGACTATCCTGGTCGCGGAGAGCGTGCTCGCTCTAGACGCTAGCGCCTTTAAGAAACTCCAGGACGACTTGGACCTGACCGACGCGGAACACTATGCGTTGTACATGGCGGTGGCCCCTCACGCCACCGTCTCCGAATTTGACGAAACGAGTTGTTATTACTCCCCGGTAGATGGCAGCAAGTTTCAAAATCACCAGTAACGGTTGCGTTTAAACTTTTGACCATGTTTTTGAACGATTTTTACAAGAGGTCATTGATAGATGCCCAACGTATGACAGCGACATTGCAGTCGAATTTAGTTTAGGGAAAAATATATTTGTGAGGCCGAACGGACGTAAGACGCGATCTTACAGCACCGTGTAGTTCTGACCGCGTTTATTGCGATGTAATCCGCCCGTCATGCCAAATTTTATTACATTTTTTTACAATTTTCTACGTCTATAAGTATAGTAAACTTTTTATTTAGTATTGCACAAAATAAAAAGTGTATTAAGAAATATTGGATACTCAATCAATGTGCATTTTGTTGAAGTTGAAACGAGACAGCTATATAGAAACGAATATGTAGGAAGGATTTTTGTTTTTTGGACGTTTTTCGGATTTTCGTTTGGAATTAAAAAAAAACGATTTAACTGAACTACCTTAAATATTCACAACAATTTTAACAGACGTCGGTTAAATATAAACCTACTATATATACAATCCTAGTATTAGCCATCGCATACTCACTCAGCATAGCGATTCAAAGGTTTATGATATTTGTACTTATAAAATAAATAATCTAAAATGTCAACTTAATGTTTTAGATGTGCAATATAAACGGAAGAAAGTATCGAGTTTATTGCAATCCTACGATAACGACAGTAAGTTAATAATATGTCTTTTACCATGTACATTTTTTTTTAATCTATATTATATATTGTGTCTCTGGTTTTGATATATATTTGTTTCGGTGATGGGTAATAATCAAAATCATTGTCATAAAAAGGTTTCTAAGATCTTTGCTGTAAAATAGAGATTCCTTTTCTTTTGATATAAATAATTAAACGTCTATGCTCTATGACCATAGACCATATGCTCGATGACCATAGATTTATGCCTGGAGTGTATCAAACTTAAATTAATTAGTGTAATTAAGTATTGGTTTTTACATTGTAATGTAGGGTAGGTCTGGTTTTGTAACAATCTAACTAACAATTTATTAGTTATACATTAAAATGTTTATTATTATGTAAATTAACACTATTATATGTAATGTGTGAATTTTTGAACGATATATTGTCAAAGTTAGGTAATTGAAATTATGTACTCACTCGAGAATAAAACTAGTCGTCTTTATTTTGTTATGATTAACTAGTCAAATTGTTGATTAATTTTATTTCATGAATTTATATTTGATATTTGGTTTATTTTTGACGTTATTTTGGAAAAAAATAGTTTTTATACGTGTAGTGACGGATTAAGAATACGGGATTTCACCACCCCTATTCTTCCCGTGGGTCTCGTCAGAGTCGTCTAAGGGAGCAAACTACGCAGGACAACAGCACTGCAGAGAGAAGGAAAACTTGAACAAACCCTATAGCAACCCGTCTGGCCAGCGTGGTATAGTAGGCCAAACCTCCTTTACTAAGGAGAGGCCTATGTCCAGCAGAGGACTGTTATAGGCTGTTGATGATGATGATGATGAAGTTTTTATAGAATTTAACAACTTTGTTATTAAAAAAATGGATTTTGTTCTTTTCATGTTAGAAAGGTTGTATCAAATACATAAAATAATTAATTATATGAACAGAAAAATAGATGACGCAGTATTAATTAAGCTTGTATTGATTGGAAAGTTTCGCTATGGTCAATAGCGATAAGCTTTCAAATTATTCTGTGTCTAGTACAAAAATATTCATAGAGTTAATGTGGATATGTGTGTCTAATGAAGGCTACTAGTGTTATAAGCTTAGCATTGTATGAAACACTACAAATTTTTTAATAGATCTTTAAAAAAGTATCTGTGGGATAAAGTAATATTGTATTATCTAGATACCAAAACGCACTGCTCCTTTTGAAACAAGTACATGGAATACGTATAGAAATAGATTTTGCAAAACTCAATAAATTATATTAAAGGCAATTTTGTAATATTGGTTTAGAAGATAAAGGACTGGAACTACCAACACTGCTAGCATACGATCGTATTTCTAGTGTTGTGTACGGTGAAGAAAATTATGAGTAGGGCGAGAAAAAGCACCCGTTCCGACAAAGACTATTTTTTGGCTCACTGGGCTATAAGCTGGGCACCCATTTGCATACAAACCCTGTCGAGATATAATATAAAAGTTGACATATTTTTTAACAACATAATGCATATCTAGGTTTACTTTTAAAGAAATGTGAGGAAATTACTTTGTGTTGAGAGAAAAAGCAGTGGGTCTTGGTAATAATTTATTTATTCGAAAGATTTAAACATTAATAATATTTTCAAGGCTATATTAAAATAACTAAAACTGTACGTATTTACTGTTTAGAGTATAAAATGACTATAAAAATAATTTGTGTAAGTTTTGCTTGTTACAACTGTTAGGATACAGTACATATCTTTTTGACTTGTATGGCAAATTTTAGATGGATGTTCTAGAAAATTTTATAAAACAAAAAACTAATATCAAATGTGTAATGTTATTGTTTATGAAAAGGTCTAAGAGTCGAATTTAATGCAGCTAAGCTGACGAGTGACGAACTTGTCCCTAATAATATAAATTTGAACGACTTTGCATTTTTGTAGTATTTTTTTCTAAAACAATTGTTGTAAACATATGTTTTTTAACGTTTTATATAAATATTAAGGTTGAATAGCGAAGCTTGATTGATGCGAAATTCTATATTAATATGCTAATAAAAATATATGGGTTTTATTTGTTGGTTGTGGATCCCTAAGCGCTAAAAGACGCCAAAGGTACGAATTCTACAGTTTGGCATGGTTGTGTTTTCATTTATTTGTTGTTTTTTTAGAACATTATTAGTTTTTTTTTAATTTTTTGTTTTTTTTTCACACATATTCATGTTAGCTTTAAGTACACCTTTGTTTTTAATTTTACTTACTATTAAGTTTGCTTTATAAAATTATTTTGCAACTTTCGTCGTGTGTGTATGTTTGATTGTTTTAAAGTGTGTATAGAGATGTCCAATATCCTAATATTAACTCTATATAATTAGTATTATTTTACTAACAATCGTGGTAAGCCAGAACCTGTTCCAAGCACTGAATACTACAGATGATTACAAGATATCAGCATCTGATCGTATAATCGAATATAAATAATGGCGTCGAATACTCTGTTCAATTCGATATAAAATATAAAACTATGTGCAGGTTCTGGCTTAATAAATGGAGTTAAATAAACTCATCTGAGTAAAGGTTGGATCAGACAGCAGACGTGGGGCTGGGATGCGACGTAAGCAGGTTGTAATCACTGTAGTGTTGTACTGTGTAATCATTAGTACATCACTGGCCTATTGGGTAGTGGTCCTGACTGCCTGAAGCCAGAGGTCGTGGGTTCCATTCCCATCCAGGGCAAATAGTTGTGTGATGAGCGCGATTAATTATTCCAACTGGGTATAATTTATCTATAATATGTATGTATTTAGGAAGATTTTAGTATGTTTATCAGAAGGTTAATTACCGTATTACAGACTACGTCTAGTTTGGTTTCCGTGTGTGGGATGTGTTAAGATATTATTATTATTTTATAAAATAAGTCCCAAAACCGTGTCGCACTCAGCGCTAGTACATTACAACAGTTCAACCGCTCACGTCACTTCACTGTCCCTGTTCCGCTCGCTGTCTGCCCTTACCTTAAAATATATTTCCAAGCGTTAAATAACGAAAGCATAGAGTCGTTATCAGTTCAGTCTTCAACAGTACAGTCAAAGAAATTTAATATACGTCATGTCAAGCCAGTTTTAAAGTTTAAGACTTAATTGGTTGTTACTGATTTAATAATGAAACCATAACTACTCTATTCTGTATTCCTTAACTCTAATTTGAAGTCAAGGGCGTATCTCTTAGGGACTTTTACTCTTTTAGTTCAAAGTTTAGCCAAAATAGTATCCTCTTAGCACCCCCCTGTCTCAACAGTAACGTAACAAATGCATGTTTAATGTTGTTGTAGTGTTTGCCTTATTCAGTTTAAAACAAATTTCATGTAAACTAATATGTTTCAATGTATTCCAGGAATGATGTATCAACCGGAACAGAAGATCAAGTCAGAACCAAGGGGTAAGTTTACAAAAAATGTTTGTAATATTCCAGGATGTAGTTTGTGGAGTACTTGATTAAGTCAACCCGTTAAAATGATTTTCTAATAGCGTAGTTGTTTAAGCGGTCACCTCGCCGCTTCCTACTGCGCTGAGTGTTGTGGGTTTGATCCCCGCATGGGACAACACTTTGTGTGCTCCACAAATTTTTGTTCTGAGTCTGGGGTGTTTTTTGTATCCGTGTCATGTGTGTTTGTAAAGTTAAAGTAAGATTAATTCCCAGAATGGTATTTAAAAAAAAACTATTATACAAATAAAAAAAATAGGATAGCACTTTTTTACGGATTATCCGTTAATTATGAACTTCGTTAACCCCCTCTCGCCGTGTGACACAATTTATGGAAACCTCTAAACTAAAAAATAAACTAAATGTGAGCTATGTACGAAGACATTATAGACATTCTTAACATGCCAGTTCGATTAATTTGTGCACAAATGAAAAGTACCACGAGGATAGTTTCCATCCGATTTGTAATATGTTGTCTATGTATATGGCTTTTCAACTATGTTTTCTTTTGTTATAGATAAAACACCGCCTTATCTACCACAGTATGGAGAACAGGTAATTTATTTTAATTGTTTTAAAGCAATCAATGCAATACTTGTAAGTTATTTAGCATTAACCAAAAAAAAATTTCAGTGGTTAGGAGAAAACATGCAAGTCGGACTACAGATCCCAGGAATGAACACCCAATTCAGTCAAGATATGTGGGGAGGACAATCTTACGTACAACAACATCCTTCAACTTCTCCATCTCTTCAGCCTTTGTCCCCAGCTCTCCAAATGGGGCAAAACTTGCAAGTACTTGGTTCTTCTGTGCCTGCCTTGTCCCCCTTGCAGCGAATGTCTCCCAATATACAGCCTTTGGCTTCTCCTCACGGGCAGGTCATAACTCAATATGGTCAAGTAATGTCCCCAAACAGCCAAGTAATGCCCTCTCATAGCCAGGCAATGTCCCCCCATGGGCAGGTCCTATCTCCTCACGGGCACATGTCCCCACACGGGCAAGCCATGTCTCCTCACGGACAAGGCTTATCTCCCCACGGGCAGGCAATGTCCCCACAGGCTCCAGTTATGTCCCCTCACGGGCAATCAATACATACAGTCATGTCACCTCAACACCAATCTAATTTAGGACACATTTCTCCTAACTTGGTGCAGCAAGTGCAGCATGTGCAACCTAATGAAGCACAGGTGAGCTTTTCATTTTATTAAATCCATAAACAAACGTATATTAAAGATTTTTTGTTTCGCACAAGTAATCTGTCACAAATAGATCAATAATATTGACTGTGATGTATCGAAATTATCCAAACCACTCACTGGCCAAAATTGAAGTAACCAAAGTAAAGTAAAAAAGGTGTTTATAAATATATAAAAATACCTTTTTTATTATAATGATTAATATATATATATATATATATATATATATATATATATATATATATATATATACATACAACATAAATACAGATAATATAGAACAGTTTATTAAGATTATTTCATCATTCATCACAACATAAATTACGAGATTCTTTGAACTTTATTACGATATTAACTAACGTCTACAGTTTAATTTTTATGTTTGCTGTGCTAGGATAAAGCTAGCTTCTGTCATTTTGAACTTTTAATTGTATTGGAGTATATTATAGGCTGTGGTTAGCGCTCATGTTTTAATGTCAGTGTGTTTTTAAATATGTTTTAATTTTGAAAAGGATCTAAAAATTACGATTCTACTGATAAGCTTATAATATTTAGGTATTTAAACTTTAACGACTTTGATTCGTACAGACATTTTTGAGTTAAATTTTTACACCTATAATTCAATTCATTGAACCCGTGATTAACATTTTGTTTATTTTCCTCAGTTGAATCAAGGTATGATGGAGACAGACGCGAACAGCACTCCATCTCTTTCTAACTTGTTACTGGACCGCGGCGAGGGACTGACATTGTACTCTGGTGAACTGTCCGCGCTGCTCGGAGACTAACGGGTCTATCAGTGAAAGTGGTATTAAAAGTTTTCACAATTTATATAGAACTTCTACGAAAGCAATATGGCGGATTACTCCTGGTAATATGGTAGCATACATTATGACATGAACTTGGTTAGATTATGAAATCAAGTGTATATTGTGAAGGCAATAAGATAGGTGTAGACTCGCTATAATATGTAAGGGCGTGTTTTGTCTGCAGCAAAACACTGGTAATGACAATTCCTTGAAAACACTGAAAATATATTATCAACAATGTAATTTTCTCAAGTCGAAATAAGAAACCATTTAAGTGTACTAAAACTACTAAAGAATGGTATTTAGTAGAAAATATGCTAGACGCTTGAAAAACCGCATCACATTTAGGTATTAAAATTGTATTATTTGTTATGTTTTCAAGAAAAGAAACATCACATCAAAATGGTGTTATGAATATAGACTTTGTAATTTTATTTATACAATATTTAATGTATAATACGCCTTAAATTAACCAAATAATTGCTAAAGTTAAACTCTGATTCTTGGGATATGTCAGTATTGTTTTCACTAGTCGTTTGGACAACTGAGGGCTGTCATCATCTAATGCAATAAATGTACTGGCCATACATGTTTTTTTACCGATCTGGGATTTTATGTAAATTTTATAAACAATGTCAGAAAAGTCATGCATTTTTTTTTATATTCTACATAAATTTTTCTATATATTTTTTCAATTCGTTATTTTCCTGAAAACAGATTTTTTGTAACTACACACAAGTAGTTATACCTAACTAAACTAAAAATATTAGTTGGTAACTCTAAAAAAATGCATTTTTAAAATATATGGTCCGCGTACACACGACACGAATATCTCTATGAATAAGGGTTTCAAAATAGTGAAATGTTCTTTGTTGTTAATTCGAAACAAATCGTAATAAGGAGATAAAAGGCAACAGTTAACAAGCTTTGTGCAACGTTTTATCTCATTGAGTGGTGGAAATTTGATTAATTCTTCAGTGTATAACAGTTTCAAATAATTTCGAACAATTAAAACAGAGTTTCTCAAACTGGTAGAAGTTTGACCCCAAAAGGTTTTGAAGACACAAGTCACAATAAAAAAAAATTAGTTTTTTTGTAGTTTGCCTTGACTTGTGTTTTATTTAATTTGTCATCCAGTTCAGCGGTTTCCAATAAATCAAGCTAAGTAAAATAACTCAATTCTTACAAATTTCAACGCAGACATTTATGTAAATATTAATCTTTAATGTATTATGTTAGGATCTTATGAAATTGTGGATACATTACAATAAAATTAAGTTAACAACAGGAGATTTAATTCAGAATTAGGCCGTCAATGACCAATACCGTTTCTACTAGATAGAAATGACTATATGGCTTGACATAATTCTCTTAGTGTAATATTTCGAGTCATAATAAATGTATTACTAAAATGTTTTACAAAAACATTGGAAGGTAATTAGGTCTATGTAATTTCTTTAAGAGATTGCAGCTTAAGATGTAATTTTAAAATTTAAAGTAAGTTGTATGACTGGGCACACCTAATTATTAAACCAGCATAATGGGTCGCATTTAAGTGTTTATATACGACTCCTTTTATATACGAATTCTGAACACAACTCTTGCCTTATTTACTGGGAATCGAAAGTTGAGACGGAGTAGAGTAAAACTAGAACTAAACAGAGATCTTAATTAGTAAAGATCATCTACAGTTATATTTCCGTATGTGTTTCCAGGAGACCGAAAAAGAATCCTTTGTCATGAGGTGAAGCGACTGGGCTTCAAATTGTTTTTTTTAATTTCCAAAGCGTTAGCTAATTTCTTGTAAGCAAAATCGACTTTTTTAAAGCTTTTTTTTATATTTTATATATTAGGTGTGTTCTATAAATAAATCTTATAAGATTCTAAATCATCTTTTAGAGGAAAAAAACCTCTTTAAAGAATTTACTCTTTTCTTATATATAATAAATGATGAGATTTTATAAATCTTAATTTTAATAAATGACGTTATGTATAATTTTTGGTACTCATCTAAGATTGTTATTAAAATATCTTTTTTTTATATATATATGATTCGTTACCAAATGGCATGTAAGTAGTTTCTAAAATAAAAATAAGTAATTGTTTAAATGTGGTACAGTGAATGAGTGAAAATTAGTTGGGATTTTTTTTTCTATCGTAAGCATTACATCTCTTTAACAAAATAATATATGCCCCTCTACATAGAACCTTGGTTGCCATCACAATGTTAGTTTTATAGACCTACGTATTTTTAATGAAATGAATCTCTATAAATAAGATACTAGTTAATATTAATGTATTTATTTTACAGTCAAAAGTTTCGAGTTTTTATTACAAATCTTTATTGCTACTTCCTATAATTATTTCCTTTGTGTATTTCCGATACTCAAGCTCTTCCACTGGTTAAGGGTTCTTTTCCCATTTGACCTTGGATATGTTGTTTTTTTTTTTAATTTCTTTACCAGTAGGTCCTTAGTAAACTTAACTTGGCTCCAAATCCATACTTATCCTAAATCTCTGTAGCCTTGGATCATTAACAGGGCTACATGAAGTGTTGCACTATGATACAGTTAAAAGAAATCAACTTTGTTATGCTGGTTGGCGAGAGAGCGTTCACCACCACAAGTTCGTGAAACGTCATTGTTCTTTACCAATGTGTGTCCAACTGTTGGCCACTATTATTTTTTTTGACGCTTTTATATTTTCAACAGTATATAGACATCAATGTCTGGCCTTATAATTTCAAGATGGCACTTTCTAATTTTCACTCACAATACCAAAAAAATCCGAATGAAATTTCTGATGAAATCTCAAAGATTTGTCTATCAGTTACAAATTGTTTTGTATTAATTTAAATTTGTTTAATATAAACAACCTCATTTGTTCTTATGAGAGAAACATCACAGTTTATATACAACATGTAATGATGTAAAATATTTTAAGAACATACATTGTAAATGTGTGAATTTTGTTATATTTTTGAGGAAAAAAAATAAAGTATATTATTTGTATCTGTTTTTTTTTTTTACTTTTCTTATTTTAGAGAGATGCAGTTATTTTTTATTATTTTACTCAAAAGTCGCACCAAAGGGTAACAGCTAAAACGATATTTCTTTCTACAATGAGAGCTTTGTCCTTTATAGTGGTACAGCTGTTTGAACAACGTAGAAACTCCATGTTATACCAATTTTTTTGAGGTAAATATTCTTAGTATTATTACGTTCTTTTAAACCCAGCTTACAGCTATAGACTGTCTAACTTCATTCTGTAATTTACGTGTGCTGTAGCACTAGAAGAGGTTATTTAATTAATTAATTTATTTAATTATTTTTCTACAGATTTTGAAATATTTATTATTATTTTCCGTTCTGTTGTCTATACTAATATTATAAAACTGGAGAGTTTGTTTGTTTAGTTGAATGTGCTAATCTCAGGAACGACTGGTTCTAATTGAAAAATACTTTTAGTGTTGGATAGCCTATTTCACTCACTACCATATCGCTCACTTACACTCTACGATCAGGATGGCGTAGTGGTTGAAGCGGGTGCCACGCCGCTTACTACTACTCTAAGTGCTGTGGGTCCGATCCCCACATGGGACTACACTTTGTGTGATCCACAAATTGTTGTTCTGAGTCTGTTTGTTATTTGTGTCCGTAAATAGAACACTGACAGCTTCTTTCCGCAAATAGAATTAGAAGAGGAGCATCAATGAAATTTTTTATAAAGTTGCGCGGGTCAGCTAATTAGTCAAATAGGGTGAATTTAAAGTCCTATATTTCATTTAACAACCTGATATCTATATACATATATAAAATAGGAAAATAGCAGACTGATTCAATCGATCAAGGCACAGCTGAAACCGCTTGATCTAGAAGCATTGAGTTAAAACAACACTAGAGAAGCAAACCTCATTATCACACGTCGAAAAAAGTGTAACCACTTTTGAACTTTGACGACGTAGCTTTGATACCACTAAACATTTGAAAGTAAACATATTTATGTCTCATTTACACGCGAGACAAGAACAATACCATCGCTCGGATTAGACAAAGACAAAGATATAACTTTACGATGGTGGGCCAGTGTTGACTACCGTATGAAATTTTACCCATAACAACTAAGAAACAATTTTTTTTTAAACAATTTTGTAATAAAGTAAATTAATTTAAATATTCTAAATAATATATTTCCAATTGAATAGAATAGGTATAAATAATAAAATAACTGGAAATATTTGGTTAAAAGGGTTTATATTCAGTGTAAAATCAAACTGAGCTGTGAAGCATCAGTTTTGTATACAATTGTCTTTTAGACTCTTTTTTATAAGTTTGTGTGGATATTTTACTTTCATGACACAATCTTATTTTTACGTATGTAAAAATAATAGCATTTAATAATAAAAGTGAATGATCAACTTGTACTGATAATAAATAATCCCCAGGGTGTATTGCAAATTCTATAATAATTTAAAAAACAAATAATTTTATTTTTTTATTTTTTTTATTTATATTTTATAAAAAAAATTATTTTTGTTTATTTACTTTTTTATTTTATATTTATATTTTTTATTTTTATGATAAACATTTTTTATTATTATTATTATTATTTTGTACAATTATTATTTAAAATTGATAATAAATTAAGAAAAACAATGAATTAATTCTTTTGTACAAAAGTCTCCAGCACTGCGAGCTTGGCAGAAGTGCCAAGCTCGCAGTGCGTTCAACGGGTGCGAACGTTCAACGGGTCCCTAAAAAAAGTGATCGGTCCAGCCCTAACAACTACCGTTCTTCCTATATTTTATTATTATTGGCAAAATGTTTAAAAACAGTATAAAGCATATTATTTCATAAATTATAAATTCTCCCACTAATGTGGGAAAACCAAAATGATTTTTTAATGGTAACACTGATTCTAAATTACAATTATCAGTGTTTTATTTTAATTATAGCCTTATTTACGATATTATCAATACAAAAACCATAAAATTATACGTGAAAAGTAATTCCGCATGATTTTTTAATGTTTTGTGACCTTGAATCGCATTCTTTCACTAAGCATTTAGCCATTTTGGCGATTGTTACTGTCATGTGTCGCTATGTTCAACTCGGTTGACGCCACATTGAATACTGAATTGACGTTTGCTACGCATATGCCTGTGGACAGATGTGCAGTAGCAACGATTTTAGGCGGTAATTACTCATCTATGTAAGTATTATATCAATGTCTAGAAGCATGAAATGTTCCAAGGGTGACGATAGGTGTGTACTGAGAAAGGATTTTTAAAAATTCTACCCCTAAAGGTTGAAAATGAAAGGGTGTTGGAAATGTTTATGAAGCTTCGTTATTTTTGGCAGTAGCGTTTTTAAACTCACAATAAATACTCTTTATTAAAAGTAATAAAGAAAGTTTTTACAAATTTTTCAAAGCTACCCTTAAAAAGTTGTTTATACAGAAATATTGTTATAATAACTACTATGTATATTTCTCTTAACCTGTGATAATAACCTTATGATGCATCTTTACGTATGTTGTTCGATCAGTCAGCCAATAAGGTTGTATCTTCTTTTTACAATACCTATAATCTTGATTCATTGTATCCTCTACGATGTTTGATGTCGACCACCACGCGGACGAGCAAAAGATAGTTAGGGTACAATTTTATTTTATATCCTCATTACAACTAGTACTTATTCTGAATAGTAACCTCGTAGGTACATAAATATCCATCAGACTTTTTTACAAGAACTAAAAGAAATAAAAAAAAAAGAAATAAGTTCTAACATACAAATTGTTTGTAAGATTGGTAACACAGGTAACCATAGACTTGTCAAACATGTCACTTCTTGACTTAAAATATTCAAGTCTCAGGTGTTGAGGAAAAACATTTTAAGCATTCAGTTTGCAAAAGAGATGGCAAAGACAGTAAGCAAGTAAAAGACAAGGAGCAAAAATATGTTATGTTCTTTATTACAAACGGGATTTGGAACGTTTCAAATGTTTACTATAAACAAATAAATATTTGTTGAGAAAATTTGAACAATATTAATTGTATATATTCCTTCGTTTTATTCTGACTATGAATGAACTTGGTTCAAGTATGCCGGAAACAAAGAAAGTCGGTGTATGGGCTGAAGGCACACACATCGAAGCAAAGTAATATTTGTGACCAGTCTTTTTAAATTCAGTGTTTTTTTCACTTCAACTTCAAAAGCTCTTTAAATATTTCTAATTTAAATGACATAAGTTGTGTTTTATGTTATGTGAAGTGTGTTTGATACATTTTCAGAGAATTTATGATTCCCAAGAAATCACCAGATTCTAGTGATGATATACCAACTATACCAGACTTAGACGATCTACAAGATATATTAGAGAAGGAAATATCTGTCCCTCCAGTGTAAGTAAAATACACAATATCTCGATCATTCCAATTTCTTATCAAACAAATCGACATTTAATTTTTGGCAGAGATATTTAGGTACTGTTTATGGATTTAAGCTAATGTTGTCCCTTAAGGTACTAAATAATTATAATTAAAGCACCTTTAAGATCACTACACATTTTATCCTTAAGAAAATACAAATGCTTATTTATAATTCAGATAACAACTACAACTATCGCTGCAGGTCTCAGAAAGTCGAGTAACTTAAAAATTGAGATATATTTTGGTAGTAGTATAGTACATTTAATTAAATAAGCTTAAGTATCACATCACATCATCACATCAACAGCCTATACTAGTCCACTGCTGGACATAGGCCTCTCCTTAGAAAGGAGGTTTTGGCCTACTATAACACGCTGGCCAGAATAATAAGTAATAATAAATTATACAAGTATAATAAAGTAACACTATAATAATAAAGTATAATAAAGTAACGCTGGCAAGTATAATAAATTTAAATAAAATATAAAAAATATAGCTTAAGTTACTCCTTATATAAACAGCTACCTAGTAGTAAAATATTATCAAAATCTGTTCAGCCGTTTTGAAGATTACCCGGAACAAATAGACAGGCAAAAATTATTTAAACTTGATTTTAGGCAAAGGTATAATGCAAATATCTAATAATATGAAGATACATTTATAAACTCTCCAATAAGTAGAATTTCTGGTCTTAAAATTGTTCAAGTAACTTTGTTATGGTGATGAGTAAGTGTTGTTGTTTTCTATATAACCTTATAAACTCAGTCTTTCTGCAGTCATTATACAACATTACTATAATATTTCTTAGCAAAGATAGTTGAACACACTAGCATTCTGAAGGGCTTCACAATCATTGCTGCATCCATATAGTCCTATATTTATTTTATATGAAACAGAAAGAGATAATTGAAAAAAAAAACATACCTTCCATACTTAGACCTAGTTGGGTCCTGTTAAGTATGATCTTCACACAATAGATTATCCATCTCCCTTCTTACGGCTACACACCACAATCTGGATACAAAGTACAGATATTACTGTCCGTGCGATAAACTCACGAAGTTAAGCAGATGTAACAAAATTTGTATCTAAAATATTAATCATCAAAAAACCCAGTTATGAGATAACCTTTAGGCGGCGCTGCTGTGCCAATCCAAAAGGCTGTAACTCGACTTACAGTGTTTTGCCTTAACAACGCTCAATCAGTTTCTTTACGTCGGTTTAGTACCCCTGATCAACTATTTTGTTATTCTAAAGTGTATTTTGGAAGAGACAATAATCTACAAAATACTGTATTGTATTGAAATTAGGGTTTTAACATGTCAAAAAGCTGTAACATGGCTTTCAGTCAAAAGACGTTTTCAAGAGTTACAGTGTATTGGATTGGCACGGCAGGGCGTCATTAACTGTTTGTATGTAATCTGATAATGTATCATCAGCTTTTACCCACCGCGCTTTTTGTAATTTTTCATTGATACTCGGTCCACTCCTATTGGTCGTAGTTTGATGTTATAAAGCCTTTAGTGTTCCTTGATAAATGAACTGTCCAACATTAAATTCTTTTTTAAATTCGAACCGCCTTAATCTCAGGAAATACATACTGTATTTCCTGAGATTAAGGCGTTCAACCAAACAAACAAATGCTTTAGCTAAACATATAAGAGTGATTCTACACGATGCACGTAGCTTGCGCATGTTGAGGCACAGGTTTTATGCTTCGCGAAAATTTATTAACTCTAGTAGAATAACATTTTTAAAGACTTCTCGTTCGTTGAGACATTTGAACGCGATTAGTGACTCCAGCTAGTACTTACACCATGTACAAGCACCCTGCTACCGAATTGTTTCAAATCTGAAACTAGAAAGACCAAAACATGTAACTTGTGCATACTACTAACGCATATAAAAGGCGTCTTTATCCACTCCTACTACTTGCACCGTGTAAAAGCAATCTAATATTTAGTATTTTGTATGGACTCAACGTGTCCCCGCTGCCATTGAAGTCAAGGACGCTACAGTTAATAACTGGGAAATCATCAAATATGCGTATATTGTGTAGGTATCAACTGTAGGTAATGAATGTACTTACATATGTGCACTAGGTTTGGGTATTTCCGAATTATTGATGGTAAACAATATTTACTAATTTGTTTATGAAAGTTTCGGTAAGCTATTATAATGAGAATGAAAATGTTAAAAAGCAGTTTTTCCGTTCCCGCCGAAAAAGAACATCTGACAAAAAAAAGTTTAATATTATGAAACAATGTTCTTTTTTTGAACTATCGAGTTTTTATATTATATATATAACTGCCAGTATCTTTATAAAGAATTCTGATTTCGCAAAATGCGTACTTTCTTGTAATAAGTACAAATTGCATGACTTTGTACTTTGCCGATGTAAATCCCATTTTGATAGTTTTTAATTTAAATGTAAGGTTGCAATAAGAATAATATCTTGTCGAGATTGGTATGTACCTTAAGGGGCGTCCATTAATTACGTGAGGGGTTTTCGGCTATTTTCTGACCCCCCTCCCCCCTGGTGAGATGTCGTGAGATTTGATTCAACGCCTTCCCCCATCCCCCAATCTCACGTGAGATTTTTAAAAATGTGTTTTTAGTGTAAAGGCGACGGGCTACTGTGCAACTTCGCGGCACTCGCAATAAATACCATGATAAATATTATTGTATAAGACAGTTTTCTTGCAACTTTACTCTGTTTCTTGCAGATAAAAAAATACGTGATAATTGCCGAGACCCCTCCCTCTCCTCAAAGTAAGATTGGATGAGATTCGGCTCGAGCGAATTACAAAAACTGCTAACAAACCACCTCCCAACCTTAATCCGACTGACACTTAGCCCTACTATAGTTGTATGCTCTCGCTGATCTCACTCCTGCACAGTTATTTTAAACGGCAGAAGTGAAACTGCCGAATTTTTTTTTTATCTCAGAAAAACCCGTTCAAATTTTGCCTGGCACGGGAATCGAACCCACTAAGGCAGCGTTTCTCAAATTCGACGCGCCTGAAGTGTCTTGCGTGTTAAAATATACCTACAAGTTACGATCGTTTTTCATTTGCTCTCCTCGTAAGAAATAGAAATATTAGCAAATAATATTAGAATTAGCAAATAACATGCTAAGACATAACTAATTAATTAAATCTAATTAGCATTAATTGCCCATTACTACTACATAGGAACTACTGTACTGTATTGTCCTATCAATAAGTGATGGTCATGTTGGTTAAGTGGTTCTGTATGATCCTGACTGCTAAGCCAGAGTTCGTGGGTTTGATTCTCACCCTGGACAAATAAATGAGCACGATTATTTGTTCTGTATCTGGGTGTTTTTTTACTATAATATGTATGTATTAATAAACATATGTATAAGCGTGTTTTTCAGCAGTCTGGCTACCATAGCACATATAGTATAGTGTGATGTTTTTTTTTTTATTTCACAGAAATGTCAACAGAACGTATCGTAATGCTCATATCGCTTTACAGTTAACATCCTTATTCTGTTCATGATTAAACGTATTTTTGATTCGTTAAGTATATAAATAAAAAGTTTTGAATTTCAGAACTGATCTCAAAGACAAAGAAACCGTCAGTGCTTTGTCAGAAGTAGGCGGAGGTATATCTGGCACAGCGGATAGCATTGAATCAGTGTTAGAAGTGTTGAACTCATACATACCTGAAGAAGAAATGGATTCGGCAGACACCGTGTGGACAGTCGACTCCCTACTGCAAGAGTTAGGCGAGGATACGCAGGAACCAGCATTGTAGGGAAGGTTCTTTTAGTTTTATTTACAAGATGACGTAATTAGGGGTCCCACATGACGTAGGTACTAAATGTCAATACCAATGACCCCTCCCCCCCCCCCCCCCCCGACCAGAAACCCCGTGACCAATCAGACTCCAAAAAAATTTCGTTTAGTACGAAAGCTTGGAACCTCATTGGTCACGGGGCGCGGCTTGATCGTTGCGTCAGTATTTTCTTAACGCGGATGAGGTATAATGATACTCGCACTGATGTAGATTTACGAGAAAGCACACAGTTATGACAAATCACACCATTTTATCCAAGTCTTCATGTGGGAAGCTAACAAATGCTTGTTAGTCTGCTTACTTATACTCCGATTAGGACTAAAAGCAAATTTAAAAAACGTGATAACTCTTAATGACATGTTTACTGATCAGTTAAGTACAGTTATTTATAACACGTTAAATGATATTAAAAATTGACATGTAGTCCTACTCATACCAATGTGAGGCTTTCCTTATTTCAATTTATTGCTTTTTTAATCTTATCTCACACTCGGATCAATTAAAAGAGACAATCTGGAACTTTGTGAGGAACGAAGTGAGCCCGTTTTTATAAACACGTGTGCGAGTTATCATAGTTTTATTTTATTGATAATGTTGGTTTCTACGATTACTTATATGTGAAATACGATTCCATCCTACTATATTTCAGTTGTAGTTTGATTTTTACTTGTTTTAATTGTTGACATTTTTGATGACGTTTTGACTGACTAGGCGTTGTTTCGTTGTACGTGTGTGCGTGTAATTGTGTATGTACACGCCAAGGCGTAGCTTTAATTGGTCTTACTTCTTGGTTCACAGAGTACCATCTTAACTTTTTTTATTTGATCCGAGATCTTATATAATTAGCTTCGCTGGCATCAAATTAATTTTTGTATTCCTTGGAAAAAGAAAAGATACTCGGGCAACTTTTTGTTTCAATAAGGGTAGTTTGACAATGTGTTTGTATTTGTTATAATAATTAAACAAACAAAAGCACATTTATTTTAGTTAGGGTGTTTTTAAATAAAATACTTAGAAGATATCTAGTCTCAATTTTGATTATGTTAGAGGAGGCAGACGAGCAGACGGGTTACCTGATGGGGAGTGACCATCGCCGCCCATGAAGGCCTGCAACTCAGGAGTCACAAACGCGTTGCCGGCCTTTTAGGAAGGAGTACGCTCTTTTCTTGAAGGTTTGTATCGGTCCGGCAATACCGCAGACGATAACTTGTTCCACAAATTGGTTGTGTGATGCGAAGTGCCTCGAAAAGCGCATTAAGTTTTTTTTACTCGGGGTATGAACCTACGCAAGACGAATACATGATCGCACAGTACAGTCAGAAAGTTTTTATATAATAAAGTTATGCTGTAAACTTATGTAGTAGCTAATTTTAAAAAAAATTAGGGGTGTAGCTGCCATGCGTTGTGGGGTGTGCGTGCCCTTTCGCGGGCAGAATGGGAACATCGGGATTCCCATACAGGAGGGAATCATCTACAAGCCGTAGATGGCCTGAGGTACGTGGGGGCACCTAGGATTTCCTTTCTAGGGTAAACCGGGTGGTTCCTCGATTACTGGTAACAGAGACGGCGTGCGGTTTTTAGTAGATTCGAATCCGACATAACCACGCCACCGGTGGACGGTAAAAAAAGGGGTGAAGATGAGTCACAGGAAGGGGGGTTTTGACGTCACAAAAAATATCAAAATTTAAGCTTGCAAATATGTATCGCTAGTGTAATTATGTTTATGTGAGTTGATGACCTGTGGGGGTTTCAATAGGAGGAATAGGTTTACTGTCTATAGTCTGTCTGTATACGTCTATAGGAATAGGTCTGTACTAGGTATACTGTCATGGCACTGGAATTTTGGCTAGCGCTATAGCGAGACCGGCCGCGATGTCAGCGCGAGTAACACACTTGCACGTTTTGATGCGGCGTTATTTCGCTCGCTGGGCGGCTAGCAGTCGGCGGTCATGCTTACCTAACAACTTGAAGTTGTTAAATAGCGACTAGCGCGCTGATGAACTGCCGTTGGCTTTTTATATTGACGTTACGAAATGTATTAGACGACTTATGATTTAATGGTTAAACGACAAGTTAATGGCTGGGTTGGAGCGGTACCGTGACATTGTGTTAGGACCTTAACTTGCTGTATCCATAAATTATGTACAAAATAAAACGACAGATTCTCTTTACAATTTTATTTTGTATAAAACATTAATTTACTATTAATTACTGTATTTTACAGATATCTCAACAAGTTCCATCCGATTATAGATTAGACTAAGGAATGATTGTTCTTACAAATTAATAAATTAATATAGATGAAAAACATTGTTTTAATACTACCCACATTATTCGTCGTTAGAGAAGACATTTATAAATTACAATTTTTATCATAAAAAAATCGGTTGTCTGTAAAGTCGGTTTACTGACGATAGTTGAACGTGACAACGTCATAAGAAAATACTGATGGAATGGTTGCATTTTTCAAAAATGTATTATTGTATACGAGTAGCAGCTGTCCACGCAGACGCGCTCACTCAAGTAGGAGAGAGACAGATGTCGAACGCTGCCGAACGCGGAGGCCGATTGTGCCTCTTTGTCACTCGTTCCGCGCTCTCGCTTGCACTTCACGCCTTAAATGGAACGCCTCAGAGCGAGGTAACGCCGCATGAGTCATGTTTTTTCGTGCGTGCAGCCGGCTCCATCGAATTATAAGACGTTGTCACGTCAATAATGAAAATCAACACTCAGTAATAGGTTAGTATTTATAAGTAGTAAATAGGTCATGGTCACAGATGGACTATTTGTCGTATCACACAAGTTAACAAGTCCCGGTTTACACATCTATGAAAGCTTACAGTATTTAAAGTTATAATTTTATTTTTTATGCCTCTAAAATATATGGGACCAAAAAAACCTTTTTTTCCAAATCATCGATAGCAATTTCATCCAAATAAGTTTTTATGTCACTAAAAACTTGACAGTAACAGGATAAAAAAATTTTTTTTATTGTACCATAGATATTGCACGTGTTATTTTTAAAATTCTATGTTAGTGCCTGTCACTTTTTTTTTAAACTAAATTCCATTCAACAGTCTATTAAGTTTTACAGTCTAATTTAAAGCAACTTTTCTGACCAGTTTTTTTTTCTCTTGTTTAATTTGGCCACCAGTTTTAACCAGCAAAAAAATCTAAGTAAGAACTTTCTATCGAGTTAACCTAATCTTTACACAAGCATTTCGCTATCCGGATGGGTTAACAAGAACACTAGTAATACAGGACCCGTTGTACTGGTACCCAGTTTTAATATAAAAAGAAAATGGCGTCACATAAATTACCAAAATCAATTTTATACAATAAATAATAAGATAAACAGTTGCTATTACAATGGTGATATTATATTGTGTCTACTAAATCACACTAATACGCCAGTAAATAATTACTAAATACATCTGACTGTTAAAATATGGTCTAATATATACAGGATGCCGATTAACCGCCAGAACCATGGGGGCAGGGGAGTGAAGATGGGTACACAAAGGCAAGTATCTGAAGACAGACCGTTTACCACAAAACGGATGGTATGTCTATATACCCATTTATTTGCAAGGTCATGCTTAAAACAATATTGTATATTAAAAAAAAGGTTTAGTACCTACTTTCTTGACTCGACAATAAAAAGACCAGTTTCACGAAACATCTCTCCGTATGATTAGTAATTATATATATTATGGTTTAAAGGAATTACTAAGAAGTTAAATTCAAATAGTTATGGACTCATGATGGTGTAACGGCGGAATGAATGGCTAATTCATGCTCTATCAGACAAATTTAGAGCGACAGAGATGAAATCACCACTTGTAGAAGAACATTTTCGAGGGCGATTCTAATAAGCCCGATATATTATTGACGGGCCTGTTGGTCTAGTGGTTAGTGACCCTGACTGCTAAACAAGCAAGCATTTGTGTGGAAGAACATTTAATGTTTGATTTGGTCTGGGTGTTTCTATGTATAATATGTATGTATTTACAAAAAAAAAGTATATATGTATTTATATCAGTTGTCTAGTACCCATAGTACAAGCTCTGCTTAGTTTGGGACTAGATGGCGTTGTGTGAATGTAGTAGAATATTATTATTATTATTATTATAGTACAGGCTCTGCCTAGTTTGGGATCAGACGGCCGTGTGTGAGATGTGTGAGGTTATTATTATTATATAAATAAATATTCAGTCCTATGATGATCTTGTTGAAAAGCTTTCTATAAAGCTTTTGCTCGAACCGCCAGCCGACCTGAACGCGATATACGCTGTAATGACTAATATACCATATGAGGGTAAAATTGTTGCTGCATACAACTCCCTACTGTTCAACAAACTCAGTCCGGATACAAGGAAATGTGACACGATCACCCATCCAACCTTGATGTAATTCTTGTCATCAAAACCACTGAAGAATATGACACTCCAGAATGTGTTCAGAAGTATCATACATAGTGTCATGGCGGCGCTAGTTACGAAGAAGTATTCGGTTCCACTTCTTAAACCCAAAGTGCCAGGCCCTATCTGGAAAATAATTAGTTTATAAATTACCAATATCAAGTTTCTCATCTGTATTGTGTTATCAATGATATTAGACCTCAATAAGGGTAGATTTTTTAATAGAATTAAGTTGAGAAAGGAACACTAAGGCCCTGTGGTGTTCAGCTAACGCCAGCAATCTGCCATCATTTGCTGCATCAAGATACAGTACGCGTCATGAAAAAAAAACGCTGGAATAAAGTGGAGGGGGTGTGTTTGCGCATGGGGTACACTTGCGCACGAAATTACTAGGTCTTTCTAGCCCTTCTCTCAAGCGTCGTTTATTGGTTATTGCTGGCATTGAAAAATATGTTAGTATACCGTTATCTACACTAATATTATAAACAGGTATAGTTTATAAGTTTGTATGTTCGGGGTAATCTCCGGTACTACTGATCCGATTTTTAAAATTCTTTCACCAATGGAAAGCTACAATATCAGCGAGTAACATATGCTACTTTTTACCGCGACAACCAACACGCGCACGGAACCGCGGACAATAACTAGTATAGAAATAAAAATAATATTTGATTCAGTGTACATGTTTAATCTAAGTTTTTTCAAAAAATATGGTTATGTTGAAACTTCTTCGTCGCCGTGGGAAACCTGAAAATCTGATGATCACGCGGTGTTGATGCTAGAAGTGGCCTTAGCGCTCCGGCAAGCTTGCGGCGCGTTACCCGCCCGCCCCGCGCCACACCTCATACCACCAAATAGACCGATAAATCGCCCAATTAGTAATGGAAATTATTGCTACTTTTGAATCACAATCATGTGTGTGTGAAGTGATTGGTTTTAGTCACTGTGATTTCACCTGTGATAAATCACTACTGGGATTTGGTCATAGACAAAGATAAATGCTATCAAAAACTTAAGCAAAGAAAAACCACACTTTTTATATATGTGGACCATAGGCTGTAATAGAATTATTTTTTATCAAAGACAGCGAGCTTTTATTTTCATTTAGAGCTTTCGCGAGTCTGGCGCTAGCATATCTGAATCTCGAAAACGGCTCTAACGATTTTCATGAAATTTAGTATGCAAGGGGTTTCGGGGTGATTAATCGATCTAGGTAGGTTTCATTTTTAAAAAATCTACAAAAAAAACCGAGCACAGCTCGATCATCCAGGTACTATGATTTGTAACAGGTGATTGCGATTTTATTCTCTACCTACACCTAATGCTTGACCGTCAGCGTTCTTTTTACATGACGCGACCTGTACAATAGTTCATTTTGCTCCTTTTTATTATCCATACATATGCAAGGTTATGATTTCATCAAGCACCAGATAAATGTATTATCAATGGTCTAATAAATAATATTAGTTCCTAAAATAGTAGATTTATCACCAAATCATATGAAAACGATAACTTAAATAACGAATTAAAATTAACTTGGAAATAATTTCAAATAATTTAAAAAAATAATTGTATTGGGTTTCAAAATAATAGGTGTCACCAAAATTTAATTATCAAATAACGTGAAGAAGTTTACTTAAAATGTATTTATTATCGGTGGATAACAATTTCAATTATCAAAAAAAACTAAACAGTCATCTGTTTTAATGGTTGATCCTCTTTCGTTGAGACAAATGGCGCGAAAAAATCTGAGTGATCAATTTTTTTTTCCAAAACATATTACAGAATACAATAGTAGGTAATCGCAAGATATTTGTTCTTTTTTTTGCGGTTCGTTGTTGGTTGCAATACTAACCTCAAAGTTAAATTCCGTGCATTGCAGCCGATCGCAAAGCTCGGAATTAAACTTTAACCTTGTTTCATTCTCTGAAACTAGTGGAATTAATTATTAAATTTGTAAAGAAAAGAAACTATAACTGAAATATGGAGTAAAAACAACTCAAGTTAAAAAAAAAAGAATAAAAACTTAAAATTAAATACAAAAGTTAGGTACATTAAGTTGTTAAATTTTGACAGTTGATGCTTTTTATGTAATAAACACGGACCACTAAGGATTATTAAAATAAGGGAATAAGGGTGGTATGAACAGTCGTATGGAAGTTAGAAACATGAAATAATTACACGATTTACATGTAAAAACATATCGCCGACTTCAAGAAAAATTCTACCAGCTCTAGAATTTTTTTTTTTAAATTTAAAAGGGACCAACTTTGAATAGAGCAAATTCAATTAAAAAAATGCTACAACTTTGTACTTTTATCGTTTATTTACTGAGGCTATTTACAAATTGATGATTCCAACAATACAGGTTGTATTGGACTTTTATTGAGATGTTACAAAAGCACACGACAATATATAATTTAATAGGAAATATTGGCCCTGTCTACAGATAAGACTCCAAATTTATGAGTACCCTCAAATAATTTGAAATATTGGTTTTAACAATTGTTCTAAGTTAGTGTTACAAAATTTAAATCGCCTAAAGTAGGTATATTTCCATGTAAATTTAGGTTATATTAAGTCCAAAGTAAGTATATGTGAAAATTATAGACCTGTGAAGCCTGGATATATGCATGTGGAGGAATGGGAATTTCCCTCTATGTCCTTCGTGGTAAAGACTGTTTGGCAGCCCAACGGTTGATATTAAGAATTGGCGTGAAAACTTCATAATTTGTGTCAGTGTATGTGGAAGTCACCACATAAGAAAACCCTACTACTGATAATTATAAAATTTGGCTTCACTTATGAAATGTGAAGCAATTAAGTATAGAAAAACACAAAGTATACTAACAGAATCAGCAAGCACATTGATAATTGCAAATGCTCCACTCATAGTGCCAAAGCCCAGCCCTGACACATAAGCCATCTCCAGCTTGTTAGTGCCCACACTGTGGTTTTCTGATATCTCCTTGAGGCCTGCTTCTGTCTTCCTCAGTAATACGTACATGCCGTATCGGCATAATTCCTGGAAACACATAAAATATGTTTTGTAGATAACTGTTTTAGGTAGAATCTTGTAATGGCAGGATTACATGGTATGAAATTTTAGATGGAATTGAAAAAAGTAATTATGACACATAATCCATACATATTTCTTACCTAATGTGTTTGTGATCAATATCTATGATCTAATTTAAACCCTCCGTCCATTAGGATCCCCTGCTTAAATCCCTTTAGGGATTTATTTGGATTTTTTGTAAACACCGACCCCTAGGAGCTCTGTTTGAAATTTTTCAACAAGCGGATTTTTTTTTTTTGTTTTTGTAAACAATTTTTTTTTTATTAAATTTTAAATAAATGGCTTAATGGAGTTTTCAAGGAATTTTGTAATATTAAATGTATTGATAGATATAGGATTAACTACGAATGTACGAACAAATACAGAAATTTAAAGATTTAAGGAGGGGATCATATTGGAGGTAAAGTGAACCAAATAGTTGTACAGTTTTTCAATCGACGGGCTTGTTGGTCTAGTAGTTAGTTACCCTGACTGCCAAGCTGGTCATGGGTTCAATTCCCAGGCACAAATATTGTGTGATGAGCACAGTCATTTGTTGTTTCTGGGTGTAATTTATCTATAATAAGTATGTATTTAGAAATATATAAGTATGTTTATCAGCGGTCTGGTTACCATAGTACAGGCTTTGCCTAGTTTGGACTCAAACGGATGTGTGTGAGATATGTGAGGTATATTATTTTTATATTGTTTTTCATTGGAAGAGCCATGTTAGAGCACATGTGGGTGGGCTCAACTAGAGAGTCACACTCTAAAGGCTGGTATTAAGCAGTTTTTTTGGCCTTGCACCGAGTCAGTAATTGATGTCCTAAAGACTCCCTCCACCCCTATATATTTCTGAATGCAGGGAGCAATGAAGCCATGCATTGGTGTCTTTCGAGTGGAAGCTGTCCAAGTAGTACCTGATAGTAAGGTCAGTGACCCATCTGCTTGTACATAACTGGTACTTAATATAAGTAACTAAATATAACGACGACCGGATGGCGTAGTGGTTTGTGTAACGGACTGCTATTCCAAAGGTCGCGGGTTCGATTCCCGCTCAAGTCAAACATTTGTGTGCATGAACATTTGATGTTTGATTTGGTCTGGGTGTTTCTATGTATAATATGTATGTATTTACAAAAAAAAAGTAAATATGTATTTATATCAGTTGTCTAGTACCCATAGTACAAGCTCTGCTTAGTTTGGGACTAGATGGCGTCGTGTGTATGTGGTAGAATATTATAAAAACACAACTTATTTCGACCAATCCACTGGATATAATTTACTTTTTGTAATAACTCTGTCTATAATTTTATCTATAAGGCAAACTATATTTATTTGTATAATTTCGAGAATAATATAAATCAAAACAAGAGTAGAAATTACACATAGTAAACATCAATTAATGCATATTGTCAATTAATGTTCGACTGCACAGATGGCGTAGTAGTTTAAGTGGTCGCCACGCCGCTTCCTACTACGCCGAGTGTTGTGGGTTCAAACCCCACATGGGACAACACTTTGTGTGATCCACAAATTGTTGTTCTGAGTCTGGGTGTTCTTTGTGTCCGTTTCATGTATGTTTGTAAAGTCCAAATAGCTGGATGAAGTTCAACAGTTAAGGTATTGTTTTATCTGTCTCAAAAACCCAAGTGTCCCTAGATGGCTTTTGAAAGAAGAAAAAACAAAATGGCAGATATTTGGTGTAAAATAATAATTACTTAATCTGCTGAAGAAAACATAGGTCTGGGATATTATTTTTGTGCAAGAAAAAACATCTGTCATTTTCTTTTTTTTTACATGTGCAAAGACTTTGTAAACATTTTAGACATTTTCTTTTTTTACAAAGTCTTTGTGCACAAAAAAGATGTGTACCATGAATATCTGTAGGATATAATTTTAGAATTCTTTTTAAGAAGAGAAATCTAGAAGTTTAAGGAGCCTCTCTGTAAAAGGTGTTGATTTTTTTGGTTATTTTAGGTTTTAAGTTAGTTATCTTTACTTAATAAAATAAAAAAGTAATAACAAATCTTTGTTTTATGTATAGATAAAGAAACAAGCCAGATTATGAGATAGAAAAACAATAATCAAATTATAATAAACCTTCAAGTAATAGTGCGCCTCTGCGGCATGTGGTTTTTTAAATGCTATTCCCAAGATATCTGCGTGGTGACGGATTAAGAATACGGAATGTCACCACCCTTATTCATCCCGTGGGTGTCATAAGAGGCAACTAAGGGTGCTAACTACAGGACAACAGCCCTGCAAAGAGAAGGAAAACTTGAAACAAACCCTATACCAACCCATCTGGCCAGATGGTATAGTAGGCCAAAACCTCCTTACTAAGGAGAGGCCTATGTCCAGCAGTGGACTATTATAGGCTGTTGATGTCTCAAGAGGGTCATTACTCTAGGGTTAACTTAAGATAGATTCGGTAAAGCAAATAAATACGTTACTTACTTGTAATATAATAGCAAACACCATCCCGAAGGCCAAATATGACCGTAATGGCCACACAGCATACCAAATCAAAGATGACAACAAAAATGATAATAGCCACCCAAATGCTGCTGCTATCATGATGATGATGCGCACCGGATCGATGGCTACCGTAAGTGAAAACATCACCAGTGGTGCTCCAAACGCTAGAAGCGCACAACTGAAGAATTCTGCGAGAGTCATCTTATCCAGCTGATAGCCCTAAATTGATAAATCGTAACTTATACTAATATAAGTACAAACACCACATAACTAACAGTTAAGCTTATAGTAAACTAAATTAAAGATATTTGAATCAAGTACAATAATTCGGATTTCAGAAGTTTTGATATAAAATGAAATGAATCACAACGTAACGCAGTTGAAGTTAGATCCGGAGAGTGTTGCCAGCAGTTAAAGTAACTCTCCACCAGAATCAACATCTAAAACCAGAATACGACTAACGAAAAACGGCCCTAATCTAATAATCGCCAAATTTTCCACTAAACTTTTTTTGGTTAATATATTAATAATTAGTTTCCTTTATTATTATGTAATCTATAAAATCAACATACAATTGTACAAATAGTAAATCAACGAGGTATTCATTGCAGCATTTTCTTTACAACCTCAAACCACAGCGTATTCTTAACATAGCAGATCAAAGATTCAACTTCATTCTATTCCTGTGCTTGTTTTTCATTACATTCTTACTGTTAAATAGTCTCTCAACATCGAATTTTAAATATCTTCAAATCTTGAGTTCCCTTGGGCAACTGTGAAGTAAAATACTAACAAAGTTGATGTTAACACGATGGACATAGGTAGACAACAACGGATCGAGATTCGAACGACTATTGGTTTAAATGATATCAATCTTCATTTCCCTTCTGCTATTCAACTGGATAGTAAAACCAAGAGTCAAGAGCAAACTCTGAACTATAATAATAATAATTTATATTATAATAATATAATATAAATTAAATATTAAAATATTTAATAATATTTATTATAATTTAAAAAATAGAGTATACATGCATTCAGTACAGTCTATTCAATACTGCACTACTAGATAGGCCACTGAACAGCCGGTGATAAGGAGTTACAGTGCGGACCCCTGTTGGCCTGTCAATTGATTTTATTAATGCTTGAATTATGTGTGTGCCTGTGTCTGTGTGTGTTCGCGTTTAAGTAAACGTGCGCTTGTGCGTGCTGTTATTTAGTTGGTTTATAGCTTGATGTTCGTAAGAATTTTGCTACAGTCTTTTTACAGGAAAGTAATTTGAGCAGTAGATATTACACCTTGCATTGATTATGTTGTACAAGAATGGACCAAGATACATAGAAAATCTCTTAAAAAACGGAGTATGTTCCGATAATCTTTACAATTTCAGATACAAGTTTGCTTCGACTCTCAGTGACGTTTTAACGAGAAATATTAGGGCGGCCTGCATGAAAGGCATTTCCGGTACTATCATCTGCACACCAATAGTTGTAACTAGTTTACAACATGTCATTGATATGCAGAAGAAACAGTGAGGGTGATGATAGCACACAGCCTTGTTTGACAATAATATTTACAGATTAGATTAGTAAGTCACTAGTAAAATCCACTAGCCACTAAAAGCAATATTACACCACCAACAGGGGGTCGAAACCACCAGTTTTAGTGGAAAATCCACTAGTCTAGCTGGTGGCAACATTGAGAACAGACTTTGACAACTGAACTGACTGTCAGAAAAACGTATAAATGTACCTACTACCTTCCTATTGTAAAAAATCAGTACAATTGTAAAAACTACCAATCAAATTATGATATCATTAAATTATATCAATCCATTTATTAATCGAGTGATAAAAATGTTTGAAATAAAACAATAGTTATAGAACAATAATGTCAATGTTAATTATTTTAATAAACAAATGTAGCTAGTAAACAAAACGTTTTGTTCATTGCTTATCATGTCAACACATTCAACAGATTTTATTGATCTCAACTTAACCTAATTTAGGCGCCTAATTTTATTATCAAGCGCGAACACTACAGTAACTAAATTAATACCTGGAACTAATAGAACATGGCACCAAAATCAGCTAAAAAAAGTCTTTGGGTAGATTGTGAGCGCTGTAAATGTACTATAACTTCAAACGACAAAAACGCGCATATCGAGTTAAACTGTAAGAAAGATCAAATAAAATGTCCCTATGTGGAGGATGGGAAATTGTATACTTGGTTGGAAAGGTCAATGGGGAATCCTGAGGGTACTCCTAAAGATGCCGTGATGATACACCCATCAACAGCTACATTGATAGGTGCAGTGATTGGGTGCCCAATTCTACTAAGTCGAAAAGGCGCTCCTACAATTGTAAAACGCATGTGGCCGTCGAAGTATGCTGCTCCGGTAGCCGTCGTATTACCAGCAGCAGGTAACTAAATTTAAAAGTATTTTATGATTTAAATTCTGTTTTTCTTTTATTTGGTTACCAGCATAAAGGGGTTTTTTTCTGACTAAATCAAAGAATCCAGTCATAATACAATGTTGGATTTCCCTATTAAATTAAATACAATGTCTGTTTCTGTGACTGCTGTTCTGAGGTCTCGGGTTCAATCCCCAGGTCGGACCAAATATTTGTATGCTCTGCAAATATTTGTTACGGAGTTTGGGTGTTTTCTATGTATAATATGTGTGTATTTAAAAAAAAAAAAGAATATAAGCTTTGCTCTGCTTAGTTTAAAACTAGGTGATGTTGTGTTAGAAGTCTGAAAAAAAATAGGCTTTCCAATATTAGTTCACAAATTTATTGCTATGTTCCTGTAAGTTGTTTGTTTTTATCTTTTTTTAAGATAACTTGAAGCATCTTCCAATAGTAGACATGGAAATTATTGCTTTTTTAAATCATTTATAAAACGAAGTGATTGGCTTTAGTCACAGTGATTTCACCTGTGATTGTGATTTGATCATAGACAAAGAGAAATGCCATCAAAATCAATCTCAATTCTTTTTTCAAACAGTACAACCTTTTTTATTTTATTTTAGATCTTTTGCGAGTCTGACACTGTCGTAATAAAAATAATAAGTTACAGTGGTTTTTTAAATTATTCACAGGTTTGATAATATGATATGTAAATCATATGATTTATAATAGTTTATTGTTATTTTAGTCCACCTCTATCATGTAGTATAATTCCTGTTGGTCTAGTGGTTGGTGACCCTGACTGCTAAGCCGGAGGTTGTGGGTTCATTTCCCACCCAGGACAAATAATTGTATGATGGGCACGATCATTTGTTCTGTGTCTGGGTGTAATTTATCTATATTATGTATGTATTTAGAAATATATAAGTATGTTTATCAGCAGTCTGATTACCATAGTACAGGCTCTGCCTAGTACTTTGTTTATTATTATTATTATGGGCTTGCTTGTGTCAAAAGTTACTATATTTTATTGCCTTCCAGAATTGTCAAATGCTTGGAGTAATGACAACAAGATGGTGACAGTCTCTGTCTTTCAAGAAGAGATACCCGTTGCAACTCGGATTACAATTAAAATCAACAATTGTAAAATTGACCATGATATTTGTGATATTTTGCAAAACACTTTTTACACTAATTTTGTTTGTATCGGTTGTATTTTAGTTTATTATTACTTTGGTAAGAAATTAGAACTAGAGGTGATGGATCTTAGATCAGATTCAATAGATGATAAGGAGTGGTATCTTTTAAGTGAAAAAACAGCTTGGATTAGGCAAACAGAAGAAACACCAGTTCTGAAGAAAGTGCAACCTCTCGGGGGGTATGATAACATTTTGGAAGAAATAACAACATACATAAATATGATATTTGATGATGGAAAAATGTCCACTAGCTTTCAGCGTACTCGGGGGCTTCTGCTTCACGGACACTCTGGAATCGGGAAGACAGCTATATGTAAATATATCATAGAGAGTTTTAATTGTTATCATATTGAAGTTAGCGGCTCAGCAATTTTCAGCAAATATTTTGGCGAAACTGAAAGCACTACCACATCTTTATTTGAGAAAGCTGTTCAAAATCAACCCAGCATTATATTTGTTGATGAAATAGATACTATATGTCCTAAACAATCAACTAACAGTACAGAACAGGAGAGACGAGTTACTTCAGCTTTCGTATCTGCCCTGGATGGATTACATGATGATGATTGCAAAGTTTTCGTTCTTGCCACAACACGGAAGCCAGATAGTGTTCATCCCATGTTGCGGAGATTCGGCAGACTTGACCAAGAAATAGAAGTTCCAATACCAGATAGAAATAGAAGGAGGGAAATCTTGTACAGTCAGCTCAGGAATCTTCCAAATAAAGTGTCCAGCAAGCTGGATAGTATTGCAGATTTGGCACATGGGTATGTGGCTGCTGATTTAATGAACCTTTGCTCTCAGGCGACCATGAGGTGTATAAAACGTTCCAGTGAGTACATTGAGCAAGAAGATTTGATGGCTGCTCTGACAGTGGTTCGGCCAAGTGCAATGAGAGAGTTGCTCATAGAAGTACCTAACGTCAGGTGGACAGATATCGGCGGACAAAGTGATTTAAAGATGAAGCTGCGTCAAGCAGTCGAGTGGCCTCTAAAACATGCCGACAGCTTCCGACGACTTGGAGTGAAACCTCCTAGTGGAGTGTTGCTGTATGGGCCACCAGGATGCTCCAAGACAATGATAGCTAAAGCATTAGCTACTGAAAGTGGCTTGAACTTCTTGTTAATAAAAGGTCCTGAATTATTTTCGAAGTGGATCGGTGATTCTGAGCGCGCTGTTCGAGATTTATTCACTAAAGCTCGTCAAGTCGCGCCTTCCATTGTCTTCTTTGATGAGATGGATGCCATTGGAACAGAGAGAGGAGGGGCTAGTGGTGACAGTGGTGTTCATCAGCGAGTTTTGGCTCAACTTTTAACAGAATTAGACGGTGTTGTTCCCTTGAATTCTGTAACTATTTTAGCGGCTACCAACCGACCCGACATGATGGATAGAGCTTTGCTGAGACCTGGTCGACTGGACAGACTCATTTATGTTCCGTTACCCGATTATGAGACTAGGTTGCAGATAATAGAGTTGAAATTGGCAAAAATGAGTACAAGTCATATTAATACTGACAATCTTGCGGCGAGGACTGAAGGATTTTCCGGAGCGGAGCTGGAAGCTCTTTGCAAAGAAGCCGCTTTGAAAGCTCTGGAAATTGATTTGAATTGTAAACATGTCACTATGGAACACTTTGAATTAGTTATAAAGGATTATAAACCAAGAACTCCTGAGTACCTGCTAAAAATCTATGAAGAGTTTGCTTTGGGACAGAGAGCTTAAATGTTACCTTGAATGTTAAATGTTATCGGTGTTAATTATAGTTTTTTGTATATAAGCGACAATGGGCCTAGTGTGAGTGACTGATTATTTTGGTCGTGGTCAGATTTTAGAATTGTCCACTTAATGATGCGTACCGACCATTTTTTTTTATACTAGGTATATGGAATATATATTCATGATCCTAATCAGACTGCGCAAGTGTGTGCAATAAACGAAAGATTACTTTTTTACAAAATAAATATTTCTGAATTGAAATAATCTATTTACAACATATGTACTTAAATTAGAGACAGCATAACGCGCTGTGCGTGTGAAAGATCTGCCTATAGCATGCATAATAGGTTTTTACCTATGAAGTTGGAGATTTTAAAACAAGCATTTTCAGATTTAATTATCTATAGATCGGCGTGCAATTCATAACTCAAATAAATTTTATTCGAAAGTTGGATGGATAAACTGAAAGTCCGTACAATTTTCTGATATGAGTTCCTACGTGGACATACCGCCTCGCAAACAACGCGAAACATTAACGACGTGTACGGGCACATACATAACACTGCTTGCATAAATATGGTCCGTTATTGGTTCAATCGTTTTAGATCTGGAAATTTCAAGTTGGAAACAAGGTAATTCTGAATCGATTTGTTACCTACGAAGAAAAGTGGATCCTGTACGACAACTGTAAGCGTTCCTCAGTGGATGGACCCGGTCAGCACCTAATAAATGCGCTAAAAAAATACCCATAGGAAGTTGATCGTGACCAGTGGACCAGTGCCAGACTTGTACATCACAGCTTCTTACCGAACGGCACAACAGTGACGGCAGATGTCTATTGCAAGAATTGCAAACAATAATGGAGAAGCTCGCGAGTCACCCACTGTACTCACCGGACCTGGGCCAGACAGATTTCAACTTTTTTCGAAATTCAGCCATTTATGTGGGAAAAAAATTCAACACCCGAGAGGCTGTACAAAATGCTTTCGCTGACTTCATCGCCTCCCGTTTTTCCAGACTTCTACGGTAGAGGAATAAAGAAAATGCCATCAAACTAGCAAATTTGTATAAGTAATTTGGGCCATATTATATTCGACTTCATAGGTAAAGACCTAATAGGTGGTAAATGTTACTGTAAAAGCTCGAACTATGGTTAATATTAAGATTTACCAACGAGTAGTGGTAAAAGTCGAAATTGAATCATCCACTTGGTAAATCTTAACATTTACTTCAAAATGTCGATAAACAGACATGTTTCACCAACAATAGATGGGCTCTGGCTTTAATGATCACTGTTCTAGCCTAACCTTAGGAAAATTTAACTTCATCATCATCATCAGCCTATCGCAGTCTACTGCTGGACATAGGCCTCTCCCATTGCATTTTTTAACTTTATAGTACTAATAATTTTCTTCCCAAAACCAACATTTACCAACCGCCCTTGGTAAAACCTAGAATCTACCAGTTTCTAATGGTATGTCAGAAAAATTGTTCCCCTCTTTAGTAATACTCACATTTACCGATTCCTGTCAGTAAATCTGAGATTTATTGGTAAAACCTACGATTTACCGTAGTTCGGGCTTTCACAGTAACAGATACAACACTAGTTTAACGGAACAGTATTAAAGTCAAATAATAAATACAAATTACGTAGCAGCAGTCTTTTAAGATTTATGCCGTGAGGACTATAAACTGAATTTATTTTAACCATAGGTAACTAACCTGTTAAATACGAGTACAAACTCCGCCCTTTGGTGCTTAGATGCATTATATTAGGTCTTTACCTATGAAATTGCCGTTTTGTATGCAATAAGTGAAAGTACTTATTTTTTCAAACTTTTTTATTTCTGTTATTCGAAGTAATCACCCATGCAATCGACGCATCTTTGCCAACGCATTGGCAGTTTATTGATGCCCTTCTTGTAAAAATCAGCTGGACTGGGAGGCAACAAACTCTTCAAAGGCATTTTATACTGCCTCTCGGGAATTGAATTTTTTACCCACTAAAAAGTTGTCTAAATTTTGGAAAAAGTAATAGTCGGTAGGTGCAAGGTCTAACAATAATAACAACATAAATAAAAAAGTTTGAAAAAATAAGTACTTTCACTTATTGCATACAAAACGGCAATTTCATAGGTAAAGACCTATTATGTTATTAGATCCATAGGTCTTAAATGTGCCAAAATATAATCTGATGTTGTAGAATGCCCCTATTACTATATTGGGCCTCGTTGTTAGATGTACGGGCAGCAGCAAATAGAGATGACACTTTGAAACTAGATAATTTCTCTAGACTAATTACATCAACCATGTGACCATGTTCAGTTCTGGACGAAGGCCTCATAAAAATTTACTACTAGGATTGGTGTGGCGATGTGTTGTTCACTATTTGTTGCCGACCTGTGTCTATATGTCGTGGTAGGAAATTAGAATGATTTACATATCTCTTTTGAATGAAAATTTATTCTATAAGATTACTTACAGCTAAATTGAACATAAATTATAATTTATCTAATCCAATTAATCACAATGTTTGATTATAAATGTTATAACAGTAGTGGTTGAAACAATAAAATTTCCAGTTTTTGGAATACACGAAATGTGTATTATTTGAAAATATGAGGGTTGTAAAGCTATCCTGAAGTTTTGATCACAGAAGCGATCAATAATTTAGGATGGCTCAGACACATTTATAACTTTTGTTAGATTGGAATTCAAATTGTCCCTATTTACTCGTTTTCCTTCCTCATTACCTTTCTTGATGATCTCGAACTTCCCTTTTTAATCTTTATAGAGCGTAGAAGTTTCTGAACAGCGTCTCTACTTTAGTAGGTTGCAAAATTAAGGTATGTAGCAGTATTTTGTAACAATTACATATAGATGCGAATGAGCAATCGTCTGTCTTTTATATATTGGTCGAGTTTAAAAACATCGCAACACAAGACAAAAATTGTTGTCTTTGATTCTTTTATAAAAAATGCACAGATTATTTTCTTAGTCAGTCCGAACCTAATAGTTATTGTTAATGCGAATCTCACACTACCCTACTCCAGAAAATATTGAAAATGTTTTTTCAACGAGATACGTATAGTAAAATACAGGTAAAATAAAGAAAGATACATTCCAGAAACCAGAAACTCTACGTAAACCACTGTCAGGGTACATAAATACATGAACAGTCCCAAAGACAATACAAACAAAATTAATCACTTTCAGTTTGCATACATTGGCGGAACTTACGATAATATTAAATATTGTTCTGTATCGTATTGCGTTCAAAGAAAATCCTCCAAGAAATATATTTGAGCACAATTAATAATTTGCACCGCGTGGTCTAGATTCAAATTATTAGCAACGCGTCTCTTTTTACAGTAAGTGCTGTAGGAAAAATGTGCCATAAATGACAAATCAAAAACCATTACCACACCCTTAAAAGTTAATCAAATACATTTTTGCATTATTTTTTATACGTACCGGACTTTCATGTAATAGGTATTACGCATCTAACTGCGGTCAGCCTGTGACGACCATAATAGAGGAAGCGAACTGCATATTCCTTTGTAAGTAGTGGCGTACGACCGGTAGAGAGAGAAAGAAGACTGTTTTGGTCGTTCATCTCTCTTTGCTTTCTGCACTGATTGGCTGCTGCATTCAAAATATCAAATCAGTGACAAGAGCAGAGAGAGATGCAAGACCAAAACCGGCTTCTTTCTCTCTCTACCAACCGTGTGCGATAGCGCCTTTTTCGGTTCCTCTAACAATGAATAGCTCTTTGGTAACGACAGCCTATGCAAACTGGTCGAAACGTTATTCATTAAAAAGGTATTAATTAATTAGGTAATAACGTGTTTTTAGTGGGTAGTTTGATTTGGTGGGTTATTGTAGTCACGGTTTAAAGGTAGATTCCACTTTTTAATTCTTAGTATTCTTGATTGGATTCGTTTCATACACAACTTGTCCCTACCATATAGTATACCACTTTCTATAAATACCGTCTTCCTTAAATGCAAAATTTAATATGTCACTTAAGTTGCGCCAATATTGCAATTATGTAAATCACAATTTAAATGCGTTTTAAAAAGTATATATCTACTTTTTAAATAATTCTTCGATAACAGCAAGCCCCAAATCAATATTCTAAACATATATTACAATCGGGAAAATATTACAAATTACCCTCATTTTTTGAGTGTCCATTTCTTTCAGTGGCCAGATAGTTATGAAATTAATGTTGCCCATATTAAATTGCGATTTAATGTCATATCAAAGTAATAAATAAGTAATTACTTTGATGTAACTGCGTTATTAATGAAATTCTCAAACCTCTCGATAGTTGATCAGTTTGAAAAAATCCTCTACCGCATGTTTTCTTCTAAATTTTGGGAGAATAAGCCGAATTTGGCAACACAGCCTAACTGTCTGACCACAGACAAAATATTACATAATTTTTAGAATCGTCATTTTTCAATCAGTCTTTACTAAAGATGATATATCGTTTATGCCGATTAAATACATAGTTAGCTCATACGACACGACTACTACAGCTTTGTGTAGGTCAGATATTTCTGAAAACTTACGCGGCAGATTTATAGCCAATACAGTACAGTGCGACAAAAGCTCATTGGTTTTTACTCAGATGCTCAATTCACCTCCAATGACCATTACCAAGGTGGTCCGATGATCTGGTGAAGGTCGCGGGAAGCCATTGGATGCGGGCAGCACCGGTCCTGTGCTTGTGCTTGTTGCGACGAACTTTGAGGGAGGCCTATGTCCAACGGTGGACGTCTTACGTCTAACTAATTTTCTGTTGTTTTTGCTGTTCCATCTCTTATTACTAATGGCCATTCAAGCGAACTGGGCCTCAATTCTGCTATTTTATGTTTACGCCAAGCCAGTGTCCTACCACTGACACGCTATTGAGATGCCATCGAGTGGCCATTGGCATCGGTATAAATATCGGTAGTTGAAAATATATTACGTTTTTTGAGGAAATGATTTATTTATTTTTATTATAATAATTATTAAAAGAAATAAATAAAAAAAAAGAAATATAAAAAAAGTGGCTTGGCGTAAACATAAAATAGCAGAATTGAGGCCCTGACTTAATTGTTGATAATTTATAACAGACTAGTTTAGGTAAAAGCATTTACCGATTTTTTTGTTGATAATATCATACTAAGAACAGATAGTAGGCCAAAACCTCCTTTCTAAGAAGAGGCCTATGTCCAGCAGTGGACTATTATAGGCTGTTGATGTGATTGATGATGAAGAAGAACTGATTCTATGCGTTGGCAACACTGCACATGACCTCAATGCAGTGTTGCCTAAGCATATGTTTTTTCTGCATCTCTTGTAATACTGCAGAACATGTAATACAGTGCCTAGGACGAAAGCTCAAGACATGTGATTTGATGGCAATTCTGACTAGGTTTCATTATCAAAACCACGAACACTTCGATTAGCTGTTTTGACAAATATTTCTTGCTAGTCTCCAGAATTTAGTAGGATGTTCTAGGATCGTTTAAGATACGTTAGGATAAGGTTTTTCCTCTATAGGCGTCTTAGTCTTCACTGTCACAGAAGTGGAAATCGGTAGAGTTGGAAGAACAAAACGCTTATTTCATAAAACCAAAAACTACTATCACCTCATCATAATAGTTTTTTTTAAGCTATGCTCAGGCATTCCTAACGTATTTACTAAACAATAAGTTATGACACATTTGCCGCCATATTGGCTGAACATTGTCGCACTGTATGTAGTTGTGAAATTCAATATCTACCCACACTACAAACCCATTACAATATATAAATCCACGCTACAAATACCGCTAGTTAGTCGTGGACAACACGCACACGTCTTAAAATACTTTTTTAATTACACAATTTTTATTTTTTACACAACAGTAAAATAACTCCTTACTATACGATAATTGAGAAAAATTTCAACTCATTTTCTAGAGTTTACCATTCATTAGAAAAAATTATCTTTCAACTTTAACCATATCTTGGTACATTCAAAAACACCCATTTTTGAGAAGTATGCTTAAAACCCTTCATTATTTAAGCAATGTAATTCTTTGAGATCTCCACACTATTGGAAGTCACTCGGGTGGAAGTTCAGTAAATAATGATTTTGTATCTGAACTGTAAAATATCCAAAAGTCTTGGAGTACAAAGCAAAGAATTTTTAAAGGACATTCTATGCTGTGGTTGCAAGGGTTAAGCAAATACCTACGTCAGATTCGATAACAAAATGCTAGACGAACATCGATAAAAATAATGTTATCAACATTTGAAAAAACTACTTTCATCGATGTTAAGATATATCGATAAAAATTGTTCCATCGATACTTTCATGTATCGATAAAAATATTTTAGTCGATATTTTGAAACTATTTCTACCTGAAAAAATAATAACATAATTATTAGACTCGCAATATTTCCGTGTGCCTGTTGTAGCAGATAGCGATCCAGTCGGGCTGCGTGGCCCCCCACTGGATCTGGTTGACTTCCCCCTCGGCCGCGGTGTAGGCCAGAATTGGGTCCTCGATTGCCCGAGGCATCTGCTGTATGTCCCAGATAAGAGCCTGGTGGTCATCACCCGCTGTACAGATATGGCATGAGCTAGATAAACAAAGAATACACATTTTAGTATCAATTTAGCCATTGTCCTTATTGAGGGCCCTTCTTGGTCCTAGAAGGGCTAAGGATGAACCGATCAGTCCCTCATTGTTTAGTGACATCTATCTATACTAATATTATAAAGTGGTTAAGTTTGTGAGTTTCTATGTTCGGCGTAACCTTAGGAACTACTAGTTCGAATTGAAAACTGCTTTTAGTGTTGGATAGCCCTTTGATCGAGAAATAACATCATGCCACGACCAATAGGAGCCGTGTATCACTGAAAAATGTTGCGAAAACGGGCAAAATGTATTCCTTTTTACCCTGGTACCCACAATGGGTACCAAAGCTCGACTGCTGAAGTTTTCACTGATGCTGTTGTGATAATATGTATGTATGTAGGCATTGTACTTCTTTTCTATGTCAATAAAAATAATTATTATATTTTTGAGGGAGGCAGATGACTTTCCACAGGTCAGGTGGTCTCTGATAAAGCGAGAAAGTCTGAACTTATGGAATCAGTCAATTCGAGATACAGGTTTGCCATCTTGACATGCTGAAGCCATTGTTTACACGTCTCAATCCAACTCATCATCATCAACAGCCTTTTATAGTCCACTGCTGGACATAAGCCTCTCCTTAGAAAGGAGGTTTTGGCCTACTATACCACGCTGGCCAGACGGGTTGGTATAGGGTTTGTGTCAAGTTTTCCTTCTCTCTGCAGTGCTGTTGTTCTGCGTAGTTTTCTCCCTTAGTCGTCTCTTACGACACCCACGGGATGAATAGGGGTGGTGACACTCTGTATTCTTAATCCGTCACCACACGGACGATCCATCTATCCAATCCAACTATGAAAGCTATAATTTATCTTTTAACCTATCTTTCAATCATTCGGGTTAAGAATATAGTGACGCATCGATAAAGCTCGCTCCCTGACCAATCAGGTTCCAAGTCAAGTTTCTTCTATTTGGATTGTAATTTTCTCAACAACAAAACAAAGTCCGTGTGGTGATGGATTAAGAATACAGTGTCACTACCCCTATTCATCCCGTGGGTGTCGTAAGAGCTGACTAAGGGAGTAAACTACGCAGGACTTGAAAGAAACCCTATATCAACCCGTCTGGCCAGCGTGGTATAGTAGGCCAAAACCTCCTTTCTAAGGAGAGGCATATGTTCAGCAGTGGACTAGTAAAGGCTGTTGATGATGATGATTTCCCTGTTGTCCCTATTCTCTACTTCTTCTGCGAGTACAAGTGTTTAAAGTTATCAACTAACTCCAATTTTCCTACTTAAGAAGAGAATTAATTTAGTTTGATAAGTACTTTTGCTAGTCTCACTGAGCACTGACCTGTGTGGAGCCCACGCAATGCCATTGACACACGCGCGGTGGTTGTTGAGCCGGGCTACCGGCGTACACGGCACCCTAACATCCAGGATGATCACCTCACACGCATCCATCGCCACCGTGGCCAGGTAGTTGGGGTCCTGTTTGTTCCACGCCAGCCGGAGCAGGGGCGTGTGCTGTGGATCCTATAATACATACCACACAGGAATATTAGAGTCCGTATATGACAACAAAGTCTGATCCAACCGGTCTGGCCAGCCTGGTATAGAAGGTCAAAACCTCCTAGTCTCTGTCCAGCAATAGACTAATATAGGCTGTCGATGGTGTGAACAGTGTTTTTGTGATTCTACAGGTTGTAAAATATGACAAAGATAAATTACGGTTGCCGAAAGAGTTTTTGTCCTTCTCATAAGGAAACGGACTCAACTCTTTGGAAACGGACGGCTGTAGATCGGCACCAGCATTTTATGAGATTTTCAATAGGTATGCATTTATTTTGCTAAATATATGACAAAATAAATTGTTGCTATTGTGTAAAACAAATTTTTAAAAGTGAAGAAAATTAGGGTTGTCACAAAATTTAAAAAAAGTGTGTGTGTCAGCTCCGACACACGACGAGAGTTTACTCGTTATGAACGATTCGGCTGCACACAAGTATACAAATTATACACACACATGTTAAAGTTGCGCTCGATAAGTTGTGTACACTGTGTACACACATAAAAAAGGTCGAGGTCATTCGATCACTAAATTTTACTCTTCATATTTTTTCTATACTCCAAGTAAACTCCAAAAAACAGTAAAGATATATAGAGTACCTCATAGATGATAGTGGAGTGCTCGAGGTGCCTGAGGTCGAACATGCGCACGGAGCCATCGGCCCCGACCGACGCGAACATGTCGCGCCCACCGCCCGCGCGGCTGAACGCGATATCGTACACCTCCTGCACAAAGACAATACTCAATAGTAGAGTGGTGGGAGTAAGAGAATGAGAGTATGGTTGGGTTTCACTTGGGTTTCACACAGCGACCACTGCTCTACCATAACATTTTCAATTTATTTTTTTTGACACATTTACACTTAAAAAAGCTTTCACAAAAATAAATATTTATTTCTAGACTTAATCAAACAAATTATATTAATTAGATAATTAATAATCCAGTCAATTGGACTAGTGGTTTATAGACCTGATATCTGATTGAAGATTGTCGGTTTAATTCCCACCCAGGACAAATAATTGTGTAATGAGCATTAACATTTATTCTGTATCTATTCATGTATAATTTATGTGTGTTTAAAAATACATTAAAAAACAGCCTGGTATTAAGCCGACTCTGTCTAGTTAAAGATCAGAAGGCAGTGTGTGTTATGTATAAAATTATTATTACTTGCAGTCTATATTATTATTCTCTATACAGTTTCAGTAATTACTATAATTGCATAATAACTATAGATAATGAATAAAATACTAATTTTAGTGTTTGTTCAAACTAATAAGTATTATTTTACCTTATCATGAGCAATAAGCTGTGTTTTCACATGACCAGACACCTCATTCACCCTTCCCAAAACTTGTCCAGTCTCCAGACCCCATATAGTGCAAGTAGTGTCAATGCTGGAGGTTCCGATGAGGTTGGGGTCTACTTCGTTCCAGTCAAAGGAGGTCAGGGGTGCACAGAAGTCAGAGTTTTTGTTATTGTTCAGGACACACTCGAAAAGTGTGTAGGGTTCGCCGGCTCGCCAGATGCGCAAATAATCACCTGGAAATAATAAATCACGTTTATGATGTCCTAATTCATCGAAAGGGAAATCAAGCATGCAAAACTAAAATAAAAAATCTCCCCCCCTCTTCTTTACTCCCCCCCCCCGCACCCACCCCCCACTCCCTCCCTTCAATTCGACAGACGTCAATGGAAAGTCGTACCAATAATTCTCAAAATAATAAAGCTAATATAAAGCGTGTAATAAGACACGTACCACTAGTAGCTAACAAGTCTGGGTACACTCCTTTGCTGTCCGGGATCCACATTATCTTTGTAGTAGGGTACGGATGATCAAAAGTACTTTTAGCGCTAAATTCGCTTGTGTCTTCATCCAGAGATATAATTTGAACCTGGAAACAAAAAAATGGTATTTGTAGGGTAGCTTTATATCGCAGTAAAATGTAAGCGTAAATAGAAAAAATTCAAAAATCATATTAACTTGATATGAATGAAAATTTACATAAATCAATCCCGACTAATATATTATAAATGCGAAAGTAACCTGTTACGCTTTCATGACTAAACCGTGGAATCCATTTTAATGAAATTTGGCATGACTTTCGATTCTTGAGGAAGGACTAGCGCTACTTTTTACAACAGCGTTTTTGTCCTAAAAAGCAGCGTTAGTCCTTCCGGCGGAGCCGCGGGCAAAAGCTAGCTTATTATAATTGAATCTACCTGTGAACTGCAAAAGAGTGGCCATGAGTTTGTTTGCCCTTTCTTCTCATAAGGCTCAACAGCTTAGAGTTTTAGGCTTAGAGGCTTAGAGTGTACATCAAAGACGATTTCAAACAATTTTGAAAATTTTATGAATTAAAGAGAGTTTGAGTTTGAATAAATAAATATATTTAAGGTGGCAAATAACCGCGCGCGCTCATTGGTCTAATCAAATAGCGCGTGCCGTTTTGGCTTGCTGTTACACATGTATACACACATGTTATGTTTACACACAAATGTATACTTAAAGTGATACCTTGTTGTTGTATTCTTCTACAAAGCTGCCAAGGGCGAGACGAAAGCGCTTGTCTGGTCGTACAGACCAATTCATGGAGTACAGTGGCCATGGTGCTTGGTATCTGAAATATTAACAAATAAAATATATTAGGGTCATGCCATAACTTTACATGACATTAAGGACCGATGCAGAGACCAGTCTACACAAGAGTATTGTCTGAATGGGGGCTGAGTCGTTGGTATAGTTCGCCCATCAACGATATAACAATCTACGATATAACAGAGGCAGCTGATATCACACCAAAGAACACACTTCCTAAGTGAGGAAGCAAATTATTACACATACATTACATACAGAATAAAGAAATATTCTTATGCTATGTATATCTGTCTGTCTGTGCTTTCTCAGATGCTTTTTTTTCTATAGTGCAACAATGAAAGCTGTTTTGAATCTTTCGTCTCAATACTCAATACTTTATTGCTTCCACAATGTAAATGCATAGGTGATATCAATTTAAATATAGTAACAATTATGGACCCTGACGGGCGCAGCACAGTTTGTTTGGGAGAGAGGAAATAATATTTTATTTATTATTTATCATAATAGTTGTATAATTTATGAATTTTATTATTTTAGAATTCTATCTTCAAAATACTCTCTTATGCTGTAGTAGCTTTTACTTACAAGAAAGAGTTTTAATTTTTTTGTGAAACTGTTATATTTATTTTCTTGTTTTATGGTTTTAGGTAACTGATTGTATATTTTGATCGTCCGTAATATTATGGAATGTGGAAGACTAACACCCCCCATCCCCTCTAGTTTTCAGAGGCGGCCTTTGGGGGTGGCGAGCAGGGCAACCGCCCGGGGCCTCGCTCATGCGAGTGCGGAAGGCTCCTTTTCGCACTCGCGACAAGTAGAAAAAGTGCTTTACGCCTTGCAGTCTAAAACTCATATTGACAACCTGTAAGTGGCAACTGTCTTCGGTTTGTGCTTTTATGTTCGAGCAGCAGTATGTGTTGCACTGCATTTTTTGTTTCAAGTATCAGCATTAAAACTAATTCCACAAAGACAAGGGCCTCGCAATGTCCTACCCACCCCGGGCCTCGCAATGGCTAAAGCCGCCACTGCTAGTTTTCACATAGTAATTCATAAATATGTAGGTTGCCACAACCTTAACTATAAATGGGAACACCGGTCATCATGGTTTTAAATAATTCTTTGCAAACAGAAGATATATTTCATATTTATCTTGACTACAGGACAAAAACCTAAACCCTTCAAGAACAAGCTTGGAATTTTGAAGACTACCTCTCTTCCCACTGGAAGTGTCATGTAGTATAGGTACTTTCTCTCAGTGTGATGTTGTCAATCAATGTAGGAACAGTTTTATTTTGGATATATGATACTTTATGTTTTTATCTACAGGGTGTTAGAAAAGTACCGGAACAGCAGAATAATTCTAAGATGTGTTTTTTAAGATCAAAATTCAATGTGTGGTATATTGTACATTGGTAATTATGTACAACTTGGAGACTATTATAGCAGGCAGAGGCACGGGAGCTATATTGTATGAACTAGGGATTTAATAAAATCACAATCATGTGTGATAAATATGATATAGAAATCATATAAACGTCAGACTTGCGAAAGGTAAAAAAGCTAATAATCTTTGATGAAAAGAGTTTTAATTGAATTTGATGGCATTAATCTTTGTCTATGTCCAAACCATAATCACAGGTAAAGGCGTTGCATATAAAACCTATCATATGATTATGATATATCAGTAGCAATAGTTTTGATGTCTAGACTATGAGCCTATAACCTATAGGGCAAAGAAAACTCCAGTTCTATTATATCAATACCACTTGGAGGGAAAAATAAAATTGACAGTTATACTAGATCAGTGTGAAAATCATTGTTAAATTAGAATTCTTGTATTTAATGTTAATAATAAAGCCCTGAAGAGTTTTTTAGTTAAACTTAAAAAAAGTATAGAGGATAAAATTTACTTTATTATATGCTGCTGAATATATTCATTCTGTTTTACTGTTTAAAGTGATAAACATTCTTAAACTAAATGAATAATTAATTCATAAAATAATTTCATCAATTTAGAGTTCTAAATTTGCAGTTGGGTGGTTCAGTTCAACATCTATGTGAAGAAAGTATATCCTAGCTTAGCAACAGCATCTAATTATAACGATTTTTGCCGTCTAATCGACGCATGCGCGTTCTGTGCCAAGTTTTGTTCTCTCCCCTATTTTGTTTATATTGTGTCAAATGTACACACACCAGCATGGAAACGATGGAAAAATGACTTACTTGTATATTTCCTTGCGTTTAGTGCTTGAACTCGTGGTGCTTGAGCTACTATGTGGCATAGACATGATCCTGTCTTGTATCACCAATTGATGCTAAAAAGTAATTAGTACTTAATTATGTATCTCCAACAACACTAACCACAGGCTTCCGTTTGATTTATCAGCTGATTTTATATAAGAAATTATCAGTGAAATCGGTATGTTTTGAAGAATTTAGCACAAAATTTTGGTCAAAATAGAAAATGGTAGTTGTGCACATACCTATTATATTCTTGAAGTTCCCTTGGGATACGGGTGCAGCTAAATATCTGCAGTGATTTACATGGAAAGTATTTGATAAGAACTAGTTCAGTTTAACACTTTATTTGTAAACTTTATTTATTCCTGTATGTGAAAACCGAAAGCATTTTCATGATTGACAGATTTAGACAGGGCTGCCAGTTGGGATAATTATATTTTACCACAGAGCTTTCAATTTTAAGGCACAGAGTGATAAAACTTCAAAATGAAGTACAAAAATCACACTACTATGATCTTCAACTAAACAAGCTAATATAATATACTCTATAAACAGGAAGAATAATATATTTATATATTTTTTAAATTTTCTATCCTCATATCTATTTAGAACCTCGGAGATCAATGATGCATTGAATGATAAAGTTTGACTCTAAGTAAATACTATTTTTTATACTGTACAACTGTTTGAATTGTAATGTAATGAAAAATTAACTCATTTAGAAAATGTGCAAAAGAATGCACAATACGGTTCTTAATACAACTAGTGACATCTAGTAGCAGCATCCCAAATCTTTTGAATAATAAAAACCTCTGTATATTATTTCTGTAAAGTTCTTCAACTCAAGAGTTTCTACATTTTTATGCAAAAACCAGTTGGCGCTGAAAGAGGCTCCATTTAGTCTACTTCCACTTCCAGTTCAAGAATCACAATATCTAAAACTGAAATAATACCTAAATTTGAAATTTTGATACATTTTTTTCAATAAGTACCTAGCGTTCACTTTTTAGCAGCCCCAGAAGGTGCACTTGTAGGTATTACAAAACCAGAATGTTGGCAGGTTTTGGCACTGTTGCACCGTGGTGGCATTGAACCACAGTAATGCCCAGAATGCTGATCACCATTTCTTATAAAATGAATAGGTGGACCTCCCTGCGGACCATCTGTTGAGTTACTTAGTATTCTTGAGTTACTGTTGCGATTTACATCACGTTATCGTCTCGAGCTCATTTGGATACCTGAGGCCTTGTAGTTATTGCTTAAACTGTTCAGTGTTTGAGGTCTTAAAATGGTTTATTTGTTTGTTGTAAATAACTATACTTTGTTCAGTGTAGTGACGGATTAAGAATACAGAGTGTCACCACCCGCACTCATCGCGTGGGTGTCGTAAGAGCCATCTAAGAGAGAAAACTACGCAGGACAACAGCACTGCAGAGAGAAGGAAAACTTGCAACAAACCCTATACCAACCTGTCTGGCCAGCGTGGTGAAGTGTGTATCCTCCATAGGTGTAATAAATATATGAATAGTCTCTAAAAATATTACTTTTGCTGATGTAACAATTTACTTTGTAATGCGCATTATAATTGTATTCACTCAATAAACTAATGGAATACGATATGGTCGTACGTTTTACTTCTTAGTAGGACCCCAATATTTCAGCGGTATGCTTAGTAGGCCAGAACTTCCTTTCTAAGGGGAGGCCTATATCCAGCACTGGACTATTAAAAACTGTTGCGTTTTGTTAAAGAACGTAGCTTAAATGGAAACAAGTATGTATTAAAGAAAGGCTGTAGATCTTAAGTAATATGTACATTAATGTGTGCAACTTTGTTTAGTTTATGGTTATTCTATATTACTTAACCAATATATTCCCAGAAAATTATTGAAACTAGATGTAGAATGCCTTAGCAACGCTTCAGTGACACCATAATTATCACGAAAAACAATGCCCTGTCATAAATTATGAAATAATCTAGCGATTGTTTTTTGAAAAGATTATGACCAAATTATGAAATCTATTCATTCACTCTGCAATTTAGAAGTATAATGGTGGTAGAAACCCACAAATACAGGAACCCTTAAAACAGAAGACTTCTTGTTGGGTTATTACAACTTTCTATGCAGTTAATAAGTGTCACAGAGTACATTGTAATATAAGTTTCTTTTAAATGTCTGTCAAAAGAAAATACTTGTAAAAATGTCAAACCTATTAAAAAATAAAAGTGGTCTATGGTTCCCAGGTCGAAATGAAGTTCCTTTCGTTTTTTGGTTGATGTTTGCTATTATATACCAACTGAAGTATAGAGAAAAAGTCTTGTTACACAATTTTCGGTCTCGCTCCCATCAGCTCAAAGTGTAACGATAACGAAGGAACTTTGTTCCAAAAAAACAACGCCGCCACTGAGCAATCTCTTAACGTAAAAGTATTAAGAATAAATTTACAATTCTAGGTCGAATGTCTAATTCCGAAAACAAAACAATAAAGTACGCTAAACGAACGATGTCGAATATTTAGTATATTTGTTCATACAAGTGATACAATAATATTATTATATACTTACTCGTAGTTATACAATCAATTCGAATGCAAATCAAATTCCTATTATATTAGTCACTAAATCCGTTAATCTAAATTTTGACCTACATTGAAATATTTGGTAGCGTCGCGTACCTCACATTCTTACATTACGGCCATTGCGAGCACGCACTAAAAGTGTTGCCAGAATAATTTTAGTCACTCACCCTGACATGTGGGGAAAATGTTTTCATTTGAAATGTTTAGCTTCTTAAGGAACTGTCAATTTCTATAATATACTGATCTGTAATATACCTTAGTAGTTGTGGTTTTAAAAATAATAATAGAATAAATTCTGGTAGGTTCATTAGTTTTTGTTTTTTTTTATGGTGGAGGAAACCAGATGGGGCACCTGATAGCAAGTAACTACCGTCGCCTATGGACACCTGCAAAAGTCACAACTGCCGCCTTTTGAGTCCCTTACATTCCCAATCAGGGGAGGGGTGGGGTTTGAGCTTCGGTAACCTCATCCCCTTGGTCAAAAAACAAAAAAAGTAAAAGAAAGAATTGTTAAACGGTATTGTATTTAGTATTTCTGTGAAGCCGTTGTGTCCCTCCGGTCGATCCTGGCCTATAGGTGCTGAAGTACACTCGTATCTCTCATACATATAGATGCATGCAAATATTTGCATTGAGTGAAGTATTATTAATCAACAGCCTTTAATAGTCAACTTCGGGGCATAGGACTCTCCTTAGAAACGAGGTTTTGGCCTACTATACCACGCTGGCCAGACGGGTTGGTATAGATTCCTACTACCATATTACCAGGCGTCTGATAAAATGAACAGTTATAATTTAAAACAATAAAAATAGCGAAAAATTTATAGTAAAAGGGTAATTTCAATCTGAAATCTGGCAACTCTCATCCAAACCCGAGCTTATTAATTCATTGCGCAGGCGCATAGGTCCGGTTAAGGACATCACTTTCTTTGTTACGTCAATATTCGCGTAGGGACTAGTGATATAATTAATTGGGCAACAGTTGGCCGCAGGTCGTTTTATTTTATACTAGCTGTTGACAACGATTTCGCTCGTGTAATTGTGGATTCAATTAGGCCAGAGGACCGTCTTAAAAGTTATTTCTGAGGTACCTACTTATCGAGTTTCTTAGTGAGAGTTATAAATGATTATGTCCCCCTACACTTGTTAATTATAAACTTTTAGTAAAGTGAAACAGACTTCAACACGCCTACAAATTTTAATAAACTGTTTTTTTAAATTAAAATTTTAATAATTACCTCAAATTTAAATGGTATCAAACTATAAAAAAAAAAGATTGAAATCGGAATTCGAAAAAAAAAAACGAGTGTTCTTTATACCACACGACTGAATTAAAACTTCTTGGCTATGAGAGAGCGAGAGAAAGAAAATGTGTGCTCGCACCTCTCTCTCTTGCCCCTACGAAACGTAACTCTCTCTCTTACTATATCTTACTTATATCTACACTAACTTATATCTCCCTCTCAACTTCCATTCGCCTCGTCTGACCACACTTTTCGTAACGCTCTCGTCACGCATTCACCAGCTTACTCCCCAAGTCGAGCGTGCGTAAAGAAGTTTTAATTCAAAAATAATTTTCGAAACCGTTTAATGAAAGACACAGTTTTGAGATAGGTAACAAATATGTACATATAAAAAATTACGACCGAAACGAAATGCTTCTTTTTTTGAAGACGAGGCTTTGCCGAGCTTATAAGCTTATAAAAGTAATTAGGGACGCTAATTGAAAGAAATGCTTAAGTATAAGCAAGGCCGACGTACCAGTCTCATTAAATAGTTTTGTAATCACTTGAGAAATTTACAGTTATTGCGCATAAGTAAGTTTTGCTCCAGAAACCGTGTTTTAATAATAATGTACCTAAATACATACATCGACTTACGTGAGGCAAAAAATAATTTCCTGCAATTCATTGTTTTATTTTGTACTATGGTATCAGATGTGTCATCGCTCGTTCATAGAGAACTAAAGGATAATTTTTATTTTTTGCTACAGGGTGGCGAAAATCCCTTTATGATCGCTGGCTCCCGGGGTACGAAATCATGGTGATACATAAGCCCGCAGTATGTGTTACTATAAACTACCCTGAAGGCCACAGATCATGGGATTGCAACGCAGAATTAACACCACGCCAAACCAGGCTCTACCCCGGGAAGCCGCAAGATTCGCTCCATATTATTTTTAGACCTTTTTTGTTGAAGTCGTAAAAATCCCTTCGGATCTCCGGCTTCTAGGGAAACCAGTGGCCAGAATTATGTGGTGGTTTCATTAAATACCACCCCGACGGCAAGCCTCAGGCACTCACTCTGGACCTGGACATTATTTGTATACTGGACAGTATAGTTATGTTACTCAATGTTAGTTACCACGGCTGCAGTTACCAATTTACTCATAAATTACACTGTCTATTAGCCATAAAAATTTGACAACAAAGGTCTCTGTTTTCTTAAAGTTTTTATTAAAGCGGGGTAT